AGCTTCGTATTTCCTCTTTAAACTCATAATCAAATGATGGTAACGGCTTTAACTTGGAAGAACCAGAACTAATAATAATTCTTTATTAAAACCTAACAGAAAGATCCGATTGTTTAAAAATCTTTGTTGAACGTTGTTGTAGCTCTGTAATGCGTACTTATGTACAGCATAAGAATTCTAATAAGATTATGTGAAGTTGTATACCAGCAAGGGAGTAGGGATTGTGAATGTGAGGTGAACTATAAATATTTCAGGCCCTTTTTAATCCAAGAAGACCTTTTCACAAAGCAAATCGCAATATTTTGTACATTCTATATTTCTACCAAATACTTCATGTAATATTTGAAGTAGATAGCGCAGTGAAGTCTGGCGGCGCACAAATTTACAGGGATTACTTTATGACGTCATACGAGTGCTGACTTTGCGTGTAAAGAAGCTTTTGACATTTAAAAAGACTAGACTCACGTGTTGTACTTCCCAGGCTTTTTATTTTATAAAGGTCTCTCTTTTCAACACACCCTCAACATGGTGCATGTCTCAAAAACAGATACTCTATGTATAACGTGTCTGTATGCATAATTTAAAGAATTAAAGACAGTAGTTGTTTGTAGCTTGTTGGATAAATATGAGCAAATGCGTACACGTTGAAAAATCTTTGTCGAAATTACATTCCCCACCCCTTCCTCCCGCCTCTCTACGTCATGTTTCAGCAGCATTGTAAGCAAGAATCTGTTTAGATTTTTCATGCAATCGATTTATCTATTATCATATTGCTTGACTTATATGCAATGTTTGTCATGCGCGCTATCTCGCGTGAGTTAGAACAATACAAAGACCGTAATTTATGAGATGTAACCTTGAATAAGCTCGTAGATATTCTCGGTGATCGTACGATTGAAGATATCAAAAATCAGTGGAATTCTTTAAAAACTATTTTTGACAGGGATAATAAACGTGAATAGGGCAGCGAGAGAAGTGACGCTGGTAATGATTCAATGTATAAATCCATGTGGAAATTTTACAATTCTATGCAGTTTATCAAACAGTGTGAAGAGATTGAATATTCAGTGTCTACTCTTCAATCCTGCAATGATGGAAATGATGTATCTGGTATACCTCAAATGTCTAGTACAAAAAGAAAAAAGAAAATTATCCGATTAATGAGATAGCTGAAGCCAGAATGGAATTCTTCAAGCTCTGATGAAACAGTTAGCCCAGGGGACAAAGACCTTCGCCCATTTATGAAAGAGATTGCTGCCTTTGGACAGGTTACTCAAGAGACTCTTGCAAAGTTCAATCCAATGCAAAGAGTAGTTGCTAGAAAACGAATCAATGATGTTTTATATGAAGTTGAAATGGGTTTTAATTTGAACATGGAAGTGTATCTCAACCACAAACATTTTCAACATTTCCATCCAATCAAAGATATACATCTCAATTCTCACAAATCCATTTTGATACTCCAGTTCATTTGAAAAGTAGTTGCTACAGAAAGGAAAGAAGTGCAAGCAAGAGGAATTGGGTACATCAGTTTCCAAACTTCTACAAATGTTTCTACCACTTTAATGATCTTTAATGTCATCTACCACTATCGCAATCTAATGTAGAACAATGATTTCCTTTTTATAGTAATTTTAGATGGTTTAAGCCATTCGTGTGTTGCTTTTATACTTATTCAGTAAATTATATAAGTCCGCGAATCATTGCTTTATAAGAAGCCCTTGTCGGAACTGACTTGATATTTACGTAATAGTAAGAAATTAACACTTACATATATAAAAAGGACGAAGCAGTCATCGACATATCGTCTGTAGAGAACAGGTTTGAATTTGTGGCGGCAGTTTTTCAGCCACTTTTGTTCATGGAAAGACATAAATGTGTGATCTTCTTTTAGCTAATCTTTACTAGAAGATCATCTGTGATCTTTTTACTACAATAAACAATTTCATTGACTTACCCGCACCGAATTCAGTAATCTACTAACGCTATCTATTAAAAATCGCCACTTTGTTTAACGACCTCTTATAACAACAAATTTATGGCGTTGCTACGGGTAGTCTCCTTGGCCCTCTTTTTGCCAACATATTTATGTCTTTCCATGAAGAAAACTGGCTGAAAAACTGCCCCCACAAATTCAAACCTATTCTCTACAAATCTATTCTCGACCTTTGGCCTCGGGCTTGCACTTATCTTCTCTCAAGGTCTCTCAAAGGTCTCCTCGGTTTGCATAAGCCTGTGCAAACACAGTGATCGTCTTTTATTTCTTAATTGCGGAATATACTTTGTGTCGTTGTATTATCGTAGTTCGTAATCATTTTAATGAAACATAATCGTTAACTTTGAAACACTTATGTGCAGTGATGCCAAAATCATGTGCACAAAACATATATCTTTTGAGCTGCTTTCAAGCGAGGCTGCCCATATTTGCGCACTACCTTTATATTTTGATAAAAATTAAACGTAGTTTTCTCTTTCGCCTTACTCCAACGTTAACTACGACAATGAAATAGTATATATTTATTTACCAAATATTTCCTTGTTTTTAATTCCAAGTGTGCTTTTGTTGCTATAAAATCAAAAGTTCTTTGGTAGTTGCAGCTTTACAAGTATATTTCTAAAATAACCCACGAAACTGAAGAACGTATCTGACCATGTTGGTCATTAAATATGAACTTTCTTGTTAAATTTAACTAGTGTTTTTTCCACTATTGACCACACGACAATGAATTCTTCGCATCGCTGGTTTTTAAGCTTATCGGTGGTGATATTTTTGCTTACAACGTTGCTGGTATGGAAAAAGTACAAATTCCCAATACAATTTATTTACTGCAGTCAACGGTCGTCTTCACTTAATACTGAAAGAAAAAAGACAGAGTCAAACTGCAGTCAGAGTCAAACTGAGAACAATACGGAGAGTCTGCAAGAAAGGCAAAAAGAGCTGGAAGAAACTTTGCAAAGAAATCTGAACCATTATATGTCTGAAAGTGTTCATGTTATTGTCAATCAAGAGAAAGCAGAAAGGAGATTGATCAATCTCGATTTATACAATAAACAAAAGTTACACGTGCGTCGTATTAAAAAAATGCCAACGTTCAGGGATTTCTTTCAGTATATCCGAGATAAGCTGTTAATTAAGATTGTGGTGCTCACTAATATGGATATACACCTTGGAGAAGGTTTTGAAAAACTGAATCATAGTTTATTCATTAAGTACAATGTTACGTATGTGTTAACCCGTCATGGGAGACGGGAAGAACGTTGTGATATGTTTAACAAGCCCCTCTATTGCGGTACTGGAAAAGTTGTTTCGCACGATACTTATGTTCTTCTTCCAAAAGCAGAAGACTTCAACCAAAATATTTTAAATGAGATGGATTATCTTATGAACTTAATGGAAGGAGAATACAGATTGATATGGATTTTTAAAAATTTGATGAATAGAAAACCAGTTAATCCGTGCAAACTGTTGAAAACGTATCACAATCATTGCATAAACATTCACGGAAAGTATAGACCAAGCATAGATCGATTTAGAAAGAGACTTCTAAGGGTTTCTCCAACAAATACGCTGTTTCCTTGACGACACTTTGTAAATAAACTGTGTTGTAAAGTGCTCGTAAATTAAAATGTAGGGCTTGTTGAATACGTACAGATTTCGACGAGATATATGATTTTGATGGAGCGAGTAGAGATACAAACAGTGAATTTTCATTAATTTTCGATTTTTCATTAGCTGGTCTTTTACAACTTTGTGGATGTTGCATATACATTACTAATAACTAACAAAATCACTAATATCTGTTGGCAATGTTTTTGCGCAGCTTTAAAACGTTGTATGCAAATAAGAAAAGTTTGACTCTTAGCAGGTTCCACAGGAATAAAATGTATATGCAACATTGACACATTTGTAAAAGACCAACCAATAAATAATTTAAAGAGTAATAAAAATTGGCATCTCAAACCTTCGTTCAAGCTGGTATGTGTTTGTTGAGCTTTTACTCAAAATATCAAAGGTAATCACTACGTAAATGTTTGTGTATGTTTTTTTTGCAGTATTATTACGGCAAAATTTATTAGATATCATGTAAAAAAATAATCAAGAAAAATGCCAAATGCACAAAATTTACGACTTGTATTGCTCACTGCATATCAAACAGTGGTCGTTATATAAGTTCATATATAACGAATTTTATCATTAATATCACTTTCGCTTTGTTCCAAGATTTGACACATTGCTGAAGATTTACTATTCCTAATACAACTGTTGTATTTGCTATTGTTTTGTAAAGATTGCTTTCTTTATTTAATATGCTAGCAGACAAAGTATGAAAGTAATCTTTCCTAACCACTTTATTAGATTTCCTTGTCTTTTTTTTCTTTTGCCAATGACTCCTAATCTGTAACAGCAAAAAAACAAGCTTGTCGGAGAAATGCTACATTAAACTTACACTGAAGCTCATTGTTTTCATTTTTACGACGTGTGTCTAGTAAATCCAGCAATGGACAATAAGGAGATTTTGACAATAAGGTGATTGAACTACACACATGTGTATTGGTGTAATCATCATTCATATTTGTATCAATCAGGATGTTTAGAATAAAGAAATTGATGAAAAAAGGTACTTATCGGTTGTGTGCTATCATAAACATAGCAATTTGTATGAACAACTTCTCCGAAATTTGTGCTTTATTAAGGCGCGCAAAGTAATTTGTTTAATGATAATACATAAAGCAAAAGAGGGGTTTGGACTTGAATTCATTGCTGACAACTGTAATTTTAGAACATTCTGTAACAAACTCTCAAATTTCAAATATCGTTTTGCAAAATAATACCCATAAATAATCACAACTGCTTTGAAAACTTTTGAGATAAAACTTCAATATTTTAGTTGAAACCTTTCAGTTTGCTTACATAAAGTTTTGCGAATCATATCGCTGGCTCCGATAGACAAAAAAATATGTTGCAAATATTTCTATTTCCCAGTGGTGCATTTAAATCATATTTACGAGGATTTTGATAGCATTCGTAATAAAACATTTTGACGGAGAAAAGAAATTCCTTTACCTATGAAATACATAGCTTAACATTGTGAAACCGGATTTCTATCACACCGACGAATTTAGTTCGATAATTTTAAAATATCAGTTCTATTCCAGTAGCCTGTGAATTCACTGTAACATGATCAATGATCATGCAGTAATGGTGATACGATGATTTACACGTGTATTAATAACCTGGAGACATCGGCACATCGTTACAACAAAGGAACCTTTGAACATTTAGCTATTTCTGGCCCGGTATTTATGAAACATTCGGATTTGCATTCGATAAGGTAAGCTAACAGCGGCCAATTTTCCAGAGTAAATTAAGAAGTGAAGTCCTCTATTGTTTGATGCCGGCAAAACAGACTAGTGTGTGAGATGAACACACAAACTTGTATTTCTTTAGTTTAAACTGGTTAAAAACTTGTTCTTAGAATAGGAAACGGAAGTTCAATTGCACAAGTATATCTGCTACTTCACAAATGTATTTCTTTTCTGCAAACATATGATTATTATGATCATAAAATACAATATTGTTTACGAATTCAATCGACCGTTTAATTTTTAAATTCGTCCAACGTAATGTTTCAATCGTTATGCAATCGTATGATGAATTATTTGCTGGGTATTTAACTCAGCCTGCCAGTGTAGGGCCTGTAGGATAGTTTCAAAGCTGATAGTTGATGTTATATTGTCATTACTGCTGTCACACTAGCATATCTTGTGAAGTTTTGCTTGAGACATGTGAATTTATTGAGCCTTGAGCCATGTGTTTTATAAGCAGTTCATAATTTGACTATGTATGTAGCTAAATTAATCAGTAAGGTATTTGTTTTAAAAGAGCCTGCTTGGCAATGTGTCAAGACTTCTTGTGTAATACGTTATTATATGTTAGTATTTCAGTATAACTAGGGATTTTTATCTGTAGAATTTGTCATGTGTTTCATTAGTTGCCATGTCAAATTCAGTAAGATTTTGTACTTGCATTCAAAGGAATTAGCAAAATTTCTATTTTTCTTTCTGTGTCACATTTGCCTTTGTATCTCGGATAGAGTATGCTTTCAAATAAGGCACAATAAGTGACAAATATTTTTTGTTATTGGGGCTAATGATTGTCTATTCTTAGAGCCAGACAACTAAAATACCAATTAGAATATATTATTCAGCCGATTAAATGCAGTTCTTAAATTTCCCTTTTAGCAAATTTTCAAATCCAAGACTACAACTAATTCCATAAAGCTCAACTTGATTATGTATGATTAAAATTCATGAATATTTGATTTATGGTATCTTCTAATGCATTCTTATATGTAAATTCATTGTACAATCATTGGTATTCCGCAGGTATCCTGTATTAAGCAGACATTCCAAGGGTTTCAGCTTAATACAAATTTGGCTGAATTGTGTATGGCCAAAGTGCAGCACATTTAAGTTCTGATTTCTTGAATCATCTATTACTGTTATTTTCAAATACTTAAACACAGTGTCAGATCTAGGGAACAAGGTACATCAAAATAGATTATTGCTCCTAAATCTTGGATACATAACCAATAGTGTTTATGATACCTAGAATTTAAATTGAGCAGCTATAATTTATTTCACAAATTTATATTGACATTGCCTTAGGACAGACATTGTATGGTTCATTGGTTGAACAAGGACTTCAATTTTGGCCTGTCATGAATTCAAATTTTTCCAAGTATTTATGCCACTACTAGAAAAATATCATTATTGATGATCATCTTATTTTGGCAATCCAAATACTTTAACTTGTGTTTATTTTTTACATTGAAGCTTGTCAGGTGTTCATACAATTGTAATGGATCTGGAGCAAGCCAGAATACAATATAGCACCTTATTTAAAATTTAAAATTAATTTTAAATATTGTCTTTTTTAATGTTTTTTGACTTACCCTACGTGGATCCATTACGATTGTGTTGTGCAACAAATGTTGCTAAGAATTGAACTGGTCATTTTCATAATTTCTGAGGCTTTTTATAACTTTAAAATTAGATAAGTTCAAGGTTGTTTTACATTTTCATCAAAAAATTTTCACATGTTATTGCTGCAACTGCATATTGATGTTGTATTAGTTGCTATTATTAGCATGTATTAATTGCTCGTCCTTCGGACTCATGCAATTTGATAGTCTTTGAAAACTCACTCGTGCATGTTTTTCCCAAATTGCACTCTTTGAAACAGTGTTATTACCTATACAAACTCATTCATCAACACAATTATAGTTGCGTGTAACTTGAATTTGGCAAATTGCATACCATACAGAACAAAACTGAATTTTATTTTGCATTTAAATGACGTTTTGTAATATTTGTAGTTGTATTGAAAAATTGTTGCCTTTAAATTACATACTAAAAAATGCTTGATTTTGTATCAATGAAATTCTTAAAATTTTGCTTGTAAATATCCGTTATTTCATTTAACGAATGGCGGGAAGAATATATCAAACTTCTGATGTCTGACTTAATCATGTTGTAAATTTTGCTTTAAGTATTTAAAATTTCCAGTTGCATTGAACAAGAATTTTGGGGTAGACCAGCTTCTATCAATTACTAAATGCCCTTCCAGCCATTTTATTTGACATACGTATATGGCAGCTAAACTTAGATGTTGATTTTTTATTTTTAAGCGATCTTATTGGATAGTCGTTGCTACTTTTTGGATAAAGACTCATGTTTTTTTTTTTAGACCTTCTAAAATCACTCATCTTAAGGTTCATGACCTTTAATAGCTTCTTTTTATTTCTTTGATAATATTCATTGTTTTTTGTTGATAAAATCTCACCACGTGCTATTAGCCTCATGAAACGCACGATGTTAGTTAAGCCCTTTGAAAATTAATCCTTTTGAATTTAGATGAAAACTTGTTTGCAAAGAGTCCAACATTGACTGTACAGCTTTTAAAAAGGTTTCAAACAATTGAACAAAAAGTATTAGGCAAATAAAGGAGCATGAAAGAAGTGTTTATAGCTACGTTAGTTGAAGGTCAGAAAGAGAGGACTTGTATCATTGAATGTAATTATTCACGAACAGAAATTAACTCATTTTAATGTAATTTCATAACTTTGTTGCTATTTGCTGTTTGTGTCATCAATATTGCGATAATATGCTAAGTCCTTTAAGCCAAAAGGCTTGCATGTCTTTTTAAGCTTAGTTACAACGTGTAAAATAAGTTGAAAGGCTGCCTTTTCATAGACTGTGGTTGTTTTGGTAGACATACGAAAAATAAAATATCGTATATTATTGGAAGTTAAAGAAAGGATAAGTTAATTTTTTTCTTGTTAGAAGAGGAATGTTTTTAAAATAAAAACACAATCTCCGAAGATATTACTGTTCATTACCCAGCTTCTCTTAAGATAGTAAATATATATACTAAATATTTATTGTTTTTTTTTAGCTTTCGTAAATGATGGTGCAAGACACTGTGAACAATGAACCACTCGCAAAGAGAAATTGCCCCTCGCCACCCTCTCCGGGGATTTTAATGTCTCTCATTGATAAAATAAATCGCAGTACAGAATTGCAAAAACCGTTTTTCTCGCTCGAATTTTTCCCGCCAAGAACACCGGCTGGCGCAGCGAACTTGATAGGAAAGATTGAAAAGTAAGTACCTAGTGGACTAGGTTAAATTTTTGAAACAAGTGCGTTGGTTATCTTTGAAATTTTATTTGTTCGCTACTCGTACACTGCTAATTTCTTTAGAAGATTAGGCTCTCTTTTAAAAAAAGAATTTCACGACCTTTTCACGCGTATACAAAGTGCATATGCAACAAATTTTCGTTGAGTCTGTGCCCTGTTTTTTCCCCTGCTAAACCAGAAAAAAAATGCGAAAACTTCGAAAACTTTATGGCGCTTCTACCGCTGTAAGTAAGTCATGCGTACATCACAGTTTCAGCCATGTTGTTACCGACACGCTGACCCTGTTTGGCATTTTTTATAGTTTGATACTTAGTTAAATGTTCATATACACGTTTGCATGCAGGAAATTGTTATTCTTTAGTACGATAGTGTATTAAAATATTAATTCATTAAGAAGGGAGGGAGAACATTATACGGTACGTAGTGCCAAGCAGACTGCAAGAGGAGAGTTGTTACTAACTGTGGATGTCAACTCTTCAACATGAATCAATAAAATATATTGCGAAAACCTCTACGGTGAATGCGTGATTTTGTCCTTAGCAGCACATGTTTTGTAAGCTTTTTTGCGACCATGTTGTTGAGTAGCGACGTGTGCGAAAAAAAAAATAGAATCTTGTTTTTCCATTATCCAACTCTGTATTTTCCAAGCTGTAGTTTAGTTTGACTTCGATTTTGTTTCGTTGAGTTTGATCATTACTAATTTAATCAAGGTTAACTGATTTGTTAAGGAAGACATAATAAAGACACGAAATATTGTCACTCTAATTTAAAAATGTCACTCTGATTTTAAAATACGTCGGCACGATATCTGGTCAGTATTAGCTGGATGTTCGTAAGGCATGACAAGGCAAGATTTCACTGTATAATTTTGGTACTTGAAAAAAAGAAATTTGATTTTAGTCAAATCTGTCGTTGGAAAAGGCCAAAACCTTCATAAGATTCTTCCTATTTTTTATCACTGCTCTTTACCTTTGCAAAAAGCGGGTTGTAACATTTCATGAAATGCCTGTGACTTAGTTATATTTTAAACCTAGTACAATATATATATTCAGTTATAAATTAAAACTAGTACATTATGTACTTGCATGCTGTATTCCCAATCTTGATTACAAACGTGATTAAGTCTAAGAATTGCAGTCAGCTGTCTTGAGAGATTTTTGAAATCTGATATTAAATTGTTCGACTCTCGTTGTTTGCCGTGTAAAGGTTGTTGCCATATTACGTGCATAAGATTTTTCAAAACACGATTTTTCAACCACGCAGTTCCAAGGACTTACTACCACATTTGGTTATGAGGTTTGTAATCACACTTATTCACTTGTTAATCCATTGTTGTTTTGGCATAGGTTTTGGTAGTGTTGTGCTAACATTTATTTTATAATCTGCTGTTGCACGAAATGCAGAAAAACAGGACCGACACAAACTCTGCGCGCGTAAGCCAACGAATTATAGTTGTATAACATATACACGTAAGACATATAGATAAAGCATTGTTTGAGTACCTATAAATGAGTGGTAGAATTCATGTAACGGCTAATCAGTGTGACTATATATGGAACTATTTTTTTCAGATTTGGTAGCATAAGCTTAACCACTCCCCCTGTTCTGTACTTTCGCGCTATATACAGCAGGCGGAACGGTCTAAGCTCATCAGATCAAATCTGATCAAAAAAATTCCATGTATGGCGACAATGTGGCTAATATAACTTCATTGTAGATTTTCTAATGGCTCTCCCCTGTTCTGTGATATCACATGGCATCCTGCCGGAGATCCTGGTGGAGATAAGGAGACAAGCTCAATGCATATTGCGGGTGCTGCATTGAATTACTGCGGCGTGGAGATCATGTTACATATGACGTGTGCTGGTGAAACAAAAGAGACAATTACCAAACATTTACATAAGGCGAAGTCCATGGGCATTAGAAATATCCTGGCATTAAGAGGAGGTACATTTAACAAATAGATAACATTTAACCGTTGTCTATACAGTTATACGTACACGGGTATGACGTCATTTGTGATAAAACTAAAAAAGTGGTCGCCGGGGTCAGGGGCAGATCTAGAAATTTTAACACCTTAGCGTTCCGCTCCTCCCCACACACACACACACACAGAAAATTCCGAAATCTATTTCCTGTGATTTTTGGAGACGCCTGCTAGTCAATTTTACAAAAACTGTTTACAACAAATCATATAGAAATAACCGTTTATTTATTCTTGTCTTTTGCACGTAAAAATTGATTTGCCAAACAGTTTTGTCCAATTAATTTCAGATCTTTAAAAGCATGTCCAGAATGTACATTTTCTTTTTATCTCGTTAGAATAAATATATATATCCAATATGTACAGCCCTTTGTCTTTTCAAGCAATTTAGTTACAACGTTTAAGAATAAGCTAAAGTTGTACACCATCTAAATTCATTACTGCCATCCACCTCCATTCTGACCAATCAAATCATTAATGTATCTGCATACATAGTTGTGCTATTCGACACAAACATGAATATCAATAATGTGCACTTCCAGAAAATAAAGATGCTGACAAAATTAGCCTGGATAGAATGTATTCTAATAAGCAGTATTTTATAAGCACAATATTAAATATGCAATGGCAAAAGTAAACCTGACCACTACAAACTTTACATGTTTGTAAATGTAGATCGTCCAGGTTGGTATAGTCCTGAGAAGGACTGTTTTTGTTGTTGTTGACTGACGTTTAGACAACCTTAGCGGTAGTCATCTTCAGAGTCAAAAATGTTGTTTGTAAAAATTGTTTGTAATAATTAATTAATCATTTTTGACTCTGAAGATGACTACTGCTAAGGTTGTCGAAACGTCAGTCAACAACAATAAAAACAGTCCGTCTCAGGACTATACTAACCTGGACGATCAACATTTACAAACATGTAACGATACTCCTGGGTTCAAACCATTTACTTTACTACAAACTTTTTCATCTATATATGAATCATTAGGTCTCATTTCATTAATTGCTTTACCTACATGGTATCAATGCATATTACAACATTTTGTGAACATAATTTAGCATTTTGCAAAGTATATATATTTATGGAAATGGCTCTACAACTCTTTCTATTTGAATCTGGGTACTAGCCTGTGGTATAATTAACTAATTATTACAAACAATTTTTTCAAACAACTGTTACAGTAGTAAAAGCTTTCATACAACATAAATTGCCTTACATACAAGAACACCACAAACAACATTGACTGTAAAATGTATATCATCTACTGTATTTGTTATGTATACACACCAAAAAAATGAAACAAATGCGAACTTGTATAATTATTAACTATGAACTATGCATGTAAAATAAACTCTAGCAAAACATGTCAACACATATTTGCTGTATGGCAGTTGCAATGCTCTTTTGACCAAATATAAATCAATTGAATTTTAGTGTAATCTTACATAGTGATGAGACTTACAAGCATTAAGACTCTAGTGTATAATAATGAATATGTAACAAGGGATATGTAACAATATACTACTAATATTATTTCACAAATACAAAGCTACAAAAGAGCAAGCAGATTACAATTTGATCATTGTTGCATCACATTCACATTGAATGCATATTTGTCACTTGCCTTTAAAAAATTATATCTTCACAAAGCTATGCTTGTAAATAATATATCTTATAATCAAACTTTCTCAAATAACAATACATAGATTGGCACAGTATTAATTATACGTATCTCCAAATATACACTTTGTCTGAATGGCACATTGAATCCGAGAGTTATACATTGTAAATTATAATAAATATCACCTTTTTTTGACACGGTGAAGACGAGAATGTTCAAATATTTGTCAAGCAACACATTTGTCATAACAGGTGTCTAGCAGCTTGAGCACAGACTTTTGTTTCAACTTTTTAAATTTGCTTCGACTTTATTGTCGTTTACACGATGAATACAGATTATCCTCAAGTACAATCGACGTATTCTTTGTAGCTACTTGAACTGTTTTATTTCGGCTTTATTTCTGACGAAGTAGTGCAGTTGTCAAATTGTCAAATTGTTTTGGTTTTGACTTAATGTTGATTCTGATAATGTTTTATTAATGTTTTATTTTTACTTGCAAACATTTTCTGTCATGGAAATGCCGGATTATCAGTAGTTTGGTCTACATATTTGTACATGAAAAGCTATGAATTCCCATGATTCATCATGTAAATTTTGAATAATCTTTTTTCGGATAATGTTTTATTTTATATCTAACAGTAAAGTTGTTGTAATTAATAACTATTTTTTGGATGAGATTTGTGTTTAAAATATCTTGCGCACCAAAATGACTTGGTTAAAAGCAATATGAGCACATAGTGTTAAAGTATAGCATGTGTTGTCCAAGTCAATAAAGTTTCAGAAAATTTCACTCAAGGGTACACGAACGCCTAGCTTCCAAATTGCATGTTATTTTGTATTTTAACTTTTGTATGCAATAATAATTAATTGAAAAGAATTTTAAAATCATTGCATTTAAAAAGGAAAAAAAAGCAACTTCCTTGTATATTAGCTTAAACAAGTACTTGCTCTTGTACTCTCTCCTCCGCAGAGGCTCGAGTTTCATGTATAACACAAACTATCTAAGCGCTGCATGACAACAATGATATCACGACGTAATGAGATTGCCGCTGAAATTAGAACGCGGGCGGTTCTTCAAAGGCTTCAACCTCGATTCCGCGTGCGTTTCAATTTCAGCGGCACTGGAATTACGTGGTGGTGCATTGTTGTCATGCATCGCTAAGATATAGCTTGTGTGGCACATGAGACTCGAAGCGTCTGCTGAGGAGAGAGGCTGTTGTTTGTAATGTTTGAACATGATGAAATATATTTATATATCGTACAATTTTTCGTAGACCCTCCACATGGAGAAGATTTTGAGATGATGGAAGGTGGTTTTGCATACGGAACTGATCTCGTGAAGCACATACGTCAGGAGTTTGGAAATTATTTTACAATATGTGTAGCAGGTAGTTTTAGTAAAGTTTACTCCCAACAATCACCTAGAACCCATTGTACTAGATGTCTGACTCCGCCAAAATTCTATAGTTACCAGTGAAGCAAGCCGCCATCTTGAAAGGTGGCAAAACTGACGATATTTGAATATTAATATCTGCTTTTCCTGAGTTTTTATACAGCTGCAAAGCTGATAGTTTAGGTTTAATTTCTAAGATGTTTGTTAGGATTGGATTTTTAAACCTATTAGCTGTTTGTAGCCTGAGTCGGCTAGAGCTTACAGGACGAGCTTTCTCGAGGCTAGTGGTATCTAGACTTTTTTAATGTTTTGTTTTTACCATTCCGGACTAGATGAATGTGCTTTATAATCTAACTACTTATGGTGTTAAAACCCTTACAAGCGATTTAATTTTGAGGAAAAATGGCTTTTGTTTTATTTATTGTTTAAATGCGCGATGCTCGGAGCTCGTAAAGTAGTGAGTTTTCCCAGTTCCCATGAACATGTCGGTGATTTTCAAAATTTCTTTTAAACTTTAAAGTGAGCTTTTCCTTATCGTTTACACTATATGAGTTACGAACACAAGTCGGGAAATACAAAGCAAAGCTACGTTAGGAACGCAAACGTCGTGAAGAGTCTGAATTTAGTGGGAGGAAAGTAGATATCACTTTAAGGCCCATAACTTTGTTTCAGCTTTCTTGCTCTGTAATTAGTAATTCGCCAATGCTTTAAACATTGCGTCCTTGCCTCACCTGTTAGACATATAGAGGATTGGGTTCTAAATCATTCACTTCTGACAATATTTTTCCGTGCCTCGATTACGATAAATAGACAACGTACATTTACTTCATGTTACTTGTATGACTTTGAATTGAGTAATTTAATTTATATTCTATAGCATTTAATCATATTGAACGTTAAAATCAATTGCTTCCTTCTTAGCACTTATAAGAACGTCTGGAACAATGTTAAAAATCACTGCAAACTTCTCCATGTACGGGAGAAGTATTTTTAGACAGTTTGTTGAAAAAATAATAAACGATAACTATACTTCTCATATCATCAATGTATTTTCTTGTTAAATTGGCCGCCAAAAAATACTCAATAGCTTCCCCAAATATGTTTTACGTACAATGTCGTTTGTTGTACGGGCATGATTTGTTTATTTACATGGTTACATTTCTTGGCTGGGTTTTTTGTTGCTTAGAAAGACTGGTACCGACATCAAACATTTGTCTTTAATTTCTTTCCCCAGGTAGCGTTCCGTGTATTTTGGTTCAATGAACTGAGAAAACTCTGTTAGATTTTAAAATTAGAGATTATCATCAATTCCTGCCCAGTCCACGCTGCTGCTGAATATTGTCCTTTAAAATGCGTCTTACTGTTGGAATTTCATTAGGTTATCCACAAGGTCATCCTGAATGCGTGAGCTACGAAGAAGATTTGGTTCATTTGAAAGAGAAAGTAGATGCGGGATCTGACTTTATCATCACTCAACTTTTTTTCGAAGCAAAAACTTTTCTTAGCTTTGTTCAAGATTGTCGCGACATTGGTATTAATGTTCCAATCATCCCTGGTATTATGCCTATACAGGTGATTTATGCATTTCTATAAATTAACTTAAGTAATTAGTTTAATTAGTTTAGTAATTAGTAAGTAATTGGTAATTAGCTACAACAAATGCTGTAAACTAATATCAATTGCACTCGTGATTGAACATCTGCTTGATTTGATCGGAATATTTTGAGTGTGCTCAAACATTGATGTAAAATTGTCATTGATTATTATTCGTTTTTAAGGTCTTTTCGATGCATGTTTACGTAGTTGCTACGACATACTTTTTCATACTTTCGAAACGTCAGTCAACAACAACAAAAACAGTCCTTCTCAGGACTATAATAACCTGGACGATCTACATTTACAAACATGTAATACTTTTTCATTTTGTTCAAATAGTAAATCTGTAATATATAGATGACTTACTTTATAGGCATCTGAAGTTTGTTAAGAAGCCATGTACTATGTCAAATAACATATCTTGAAAGTCTAAATCATGATTGTCTAAATTTTTGGTCTTCTCTCAAATCTGAATCCTGTTAGGGCCGAGGGCCTGGCCCCCTGGAGATAATCGTCCCCGTTCCTCTCTCGGCGGTTTTCTCCAAGAATGAACTGTTTCAAACTATACGTATACTCGATTCGTCCTTGACTATAAAGTATTTGAAAAATTATTTATATTGTTTAGAGTTATGATTCTCTTCGTCATTTGGTAAAGCTCTCGAAGTTGAGTGTTCCCCAAGAGATTGTTGACGCAATCCAACCAATCAAAGACGACGACTCGGCGATTCGTAATTATGGCGTCAATTATACTGTTAAAATGGTCAATGAACTTTTGTCAAGTGGTGTTGTTCCTGGAATACATTTCTACACATTAAACAGAGAGGTAAGCCTCAGGTCTGCATACGCACTTACTGTTTTGTTATTAGTTTAGAACTTAGAATCTCTTTATTCGTTTTGTGAACTAAAAATAAGCGGTGTTAAGAGTCGTAGCTTAACGAAGAAGTCAAAAATATCTTTGCTATCTCAGGCATTATTGAATACATCCAGGCCTATGCAAAGAACGAGCCCTCGTTTTTTTCATAATGAAACAAGCAAAATTTGTCCTTATGGGTTCTTTCATAACTCGATAGAAACAAACAAACAAATCCTCACTATATCGTTGTACCTTAAACATATGGCAATTCGTCTGACCAAACAGCTTTCTTCCTTTGATCGATTGTTCATGGAGGTTTTAAGATAACTGTATCAACGAACGCATATGTACACTATTATAAACACTTTCTTATTTTGGTGTTTCTTATACCGCATTTTGTGACGGTGATGCTGCGCTGTCTGAACTGGTATTTCAGTCGTTGTCTGATGTTTCAACGACCCATCAAGGTCTTTTGTGCTTTAACAGATAACAGAGGCACTGCGTCATTGTACTGCTTCTTCAATTGAAAACTAAAGTTCCAAGGTAGTGGTTTTTCTTTGTTTTCCTTTTTTCTTTACAGCATCCCTGTACGGCAGAGGAGTTGTGCGAATTTCTTAAGAGTACTATCAATGGCATGTGTTTCTTTTTGAAATTACAATACTGCATCTTTCCTCTTTAGCGATCCAACTGCTTATGATGTTTATTTTATAGTCTTCAAGTTTGTAGTACAAGGCAAATTTTTGCATCATTGGCTAAACTTCCTTCAGTCTGCTCTCATATATCTGCCTTCAGCCAACAAAATTAACAAGAAAATTAGAAGATTTTTTGCACTGTTGTTATGGCTGTCCAAAAAATGGCGTTTCTTGCCACTTTTCATACAGTTCAGTTGCTTTTGGCAAAAGACGTGCATATATTTAAATGTTCGTTTTATTTATAAATATTTCAAAATTGTTGTCCACACTGTTGCTCAACATTATCGAAAGTCGTATTTGCAATGTTTGCAGTGCATATAATTAAATGCCTAGCAACTTTGCATAAAATTATATGTCTAGTAACTAGTTTAGTAAATAGTGATTTTAATTTTATATTGTGTGTGTTTTGTGCCTACATCCACACAGCGATCTTGCTTTGTTACAAGCTATACAGCGGGATTGAAACGGTTGCCAAATATATAGTAAATAAACCAAACTTGCAATAAACAAAACACTTTGTGAACTTGTTTGAAACTTGTTCTAAACTTGATTAAACCTGTCACACATTGCGCGCGTGACTAAAGTATTGTACAAATTTATGCTTATATCATGTAGTATTTAAAATTTTTAAAATTCACTTCAATGAAATTTATCCGTTATCACGTGAAGTCTAATGTTTGCCTCACTTGTTGCCATCAAAACAAAACTGACAGAACGTTGAATGTATAAGGCTCTTGGAAAAGGTAAAAATCGACATATACCTCTGTACTTCATTACGTGGGCTAAAATTTGAATCGGCACATTCTAGAATATGAATGATGATTCTCGAATTACAACTATAGTTGCGTCTTTACTTTGTAAAGCTGTTTGTACTTTGTAGCTTTCTGAAATCTGTTAGCTGAATGGTGTGATTTACATGCTACTCTGAACATATAATAGATCATTCCTTGATTTGTTTAGTAGCTACGTCATAAAATACTTTGTAAGCATTTCGATTCGCACACTTTCATTCTTACGAAATTCATAAACAGCGTTCTTAGGAAAGTATTTTGAATATTATATTAAGCTGCTAAATTTCTATTATCCTTGGCTGCTTCCGTTATAATTTGCGTTTATTGTTTACCTAACCAGATATTTACTCTTGTAATTAGAAATCAAACATTCTTTTGTCATATTACTGCCAAAATCCTGCTTTTATTGCCGCTTTGGCGACGCCAATTTTGTTGTCTCAAATTGTTGTTCAAACTGACGAACTCAACATGCTGTATAAACTTAATGCCATCTTAACAAAATTTAAACAGAAACAGAATTTACGCATGACAGTAAAATTTCTGTGACTCGACAGGGCGAACAAACTATTATTTAGATATTATGAAACAACATACCAGGAATTAATAAGACGTCATTTCTTATGTTCAACTTATAATCTCGCTTCCAATTCCGCTGACTTATACATTTTTTCGAAAAACACATAAAAAGACTTCTTATTTGTTATCAATGACTGCATGTCGACCATTGTTTGAACGATTTAATTGAGAGATAAGGTCATAGGAATGCATAATTGGATCTCATTGGTTTCCGTTTTTGTTACAGCAGGATAAAATGCTTGCATGAATATACAATAGGGAAACTTTGTTTTGAACGGGTAATTTCTTCATATTTATCGCAGGTTTATGTGAGGATATAAGGGTCCAGGTGGAGTAGAATGATTTATTGTCTAAAATTCTTGTATGAAGTTTTTATGGCACGGACGACAAAGCGCCGTAAGGTACATTGGCATATAGAAAGCTGCACGTAATTTAAAACACAAATGAGTTTTGTCGAAGGTGTTTCCCTCGTTTACTGTATTCTGTAAGTCATTCTCATGTCTAAAACAACTTGCTTCTTCTTGCTTATTTAGTTCGGCGTAAGGTTTACCAGTTACCACGTCAGTCTTGTACTGTCACCTATCCGGTTGATGTTTTTAGTGGACTACTTCATATAGGCTGAACCCATGTTGCCAATCTTTAGTTAGAGGGTGTATGAAAAAGGCATCGACTTCATGTTCTAAAATTTATATTCACAAGCACAAAAGATTTATGGGCACTGCACTCATTACAATGCCTTTTGATTGTATTGTTGAATTGGTGATTGCCTTTTTTTACAACCACAGGGCCCAGTTTAAGAAACAAATTGTAGGATCATTTCGCTTTGCTTCTCGACCTTATGTTGTATATCTATTTAGATTTCTGGCTGAAGTTACAAGTTGCCATCTCTGCATGGTCGTAAAAAGTTCGATAATCGGGAGGGAGGGTGACTCATATTTATTTCAAAGGATTTCAAAGGAATTTACTTCTGCATAACATGCATATATGATATGAGACTCTCCCCTCTCCAACTATCGATTTTCTACACCCATATATCTCAATGTTCCTTATTGGTTTGAAAATGCAACTAACTGGTTGACATTGTGTTAATCATTGCGTAATAAGATATGCGCGACACAAAAATTTTCAAATAGAGTGGCTTCGATCACAGCTCATTACGTAAGGTGTGACTATTAGAAAGGTCGACCATGTAGTGAATTTTCCAGTGACCAGCGCTTCCACTTCGTGTGCAACTGGCTGCGGTAGATTTAATTAGATTACTGGCTGCGGTTAGCCATTTCATCATTTCTTTGTATAAAGAAAAACCAATTGACTGGCTGCTACTATGGAAATGAAATGCGTAATAAGACATGCGTGACACGAAAAACTTAAATGAAGTGGCTCTATTACATATTCACTATACTGTGATCCACACATATCCCACTCTGCCTTTTGACAAAGAGGATCGTAAACTTAATTCTTGTCGGCCATAATTGTGGATGTATATTTCTTTATTGTTTATTCCCATGTAAATAGAATCCGCAGTATGACTAAAGGTGTCCGCTGAAATGCACTCCTCCGCAGTATGACTAAAGGAGTCTGCGGAAATGCACTCCTCCGCAGTATGACTAAAGGTGTCCGCTGAAATGCACTCCAACAGATACAAGTTATATACATTGTGTTGGTTAGAAGGAAGAGTAAACAAGCTACTGGCAGCTCACTTAGTACTTTTCCTTTACTATGCGGGTTCTATTTTGTTTTAGGGGTAGACATCCTGTATACTGAAGGCTCGCTCCATTGAACATTGTGCCGTGTGTTTAACTCTATAGTTTTACAAATACGAAACGCGATTAAAATAGGGAGAAGTTAACTTGGATAATTTTTGTTTTGTTCGTGTAAATCTAGCTGCTGCCGAAGATAGCTATAATTTTTGCCAAGTTTTAGCAAAAATAGCATTGCGTATGAAATACTTACATGTATAACGTTTTTTTCTCACTCAGATCAACATGTTGCTGAATCTATTATTATTGTTGCTCAATGTACTAATTGATATTCATTTACAGGTTGCAACCACTCTAGTACTGAAAGATACAAGCCTTTGGTCTACAGAACCGCTATCTGCGCGGTCGTTACCCTGGAAAACATGCGCAAACGTTAAACGTAGTAAGGAGGAAGTGCGTCCAATATTTTGGGCATCACGTTTCAAGAGCTACATTCATCGCACGGCTGAGTGGGACGAATTCCCCAACAGTCGCTGGGGAGATTCGGCTGCCGCATCGTTTGGCGATCTTTGTGACTATCACTTGTTTTACCTACGAAACAGAATGAAGAAGGAAACCCTTTTAAAAATGTGGGGTGAAGAGTTAAACTCGGTCGAAGATGTGAGCGATATTTTTGTATGCTACATAAATGGGGAGAACAACATATATGGGAAAAAGGTTTGTCGTTGATTTTTCTTTTAACACGCATTATTTCGCAATTATTGAGCAGTCCAATGCTTGTGAAAATACGTTCGACATATTTTGTTTTTGCATAAAACAAAACATGCATAAAAAACTGCTTACCTTTGAAATCTAACGACGTTTAAAATTTGAGTGATTCAGCATAAATTGATCTTAAACGCATTTGCTAAGTAAAACTGTAAGCGAGATGTTTAATGTGTTTGCACCTGCTTTTATATGCATGATTGTACAGCCGATAAGTACAAACAGGAGAGTGAAGGTCGAGGGTTTGCATCTGCTCTTGAGTTTTCACAAACGTCTCCGAGATAAAACGTAAATTATAACAAAAATTTAAATTTCTTTTGTTCTTGTATTTTCTTTGATTTTCCTGAAGTCTTTGAACCAATCAAAATCCTTTCTTGAAATGTTTCGTGCGAGTGACACGTAAATGATACAGGATTCATTTCACAGCTATATTGCCACATGAGAGATTGCAGCGTAGGGAATGAGAATGCAGAATATTTTTTACTTGAAACATAAGTTTGTACCTTAATATCACTCCATCTCAGCTAGGGGGTTGTGTCCAAATTGACATATTTGCAACCTAGCGAAATTATGTATCTATGCATATAGTTAGAAACATTTGTTATTTGGAAAGACGTTAACACCGCGTGTTTTGTTTAACAACGGCGGTCGAGGGTAAACACAACACACTGTTTTGTTTCATTAAAAAAATTTTTTGTTAGATACAAATTTTCAAAGAGAAAACTGACAGCAACGTAAATAAAACGAAATAAATACTCAAAGTATATATGAATAAAATGCAAAAAGAATTCTATAGAAAAATTTCCGCGCTTTCTTCATCGAGATCAGATTCTGACCGAAGTTGGGCAATGCTTGCATTTTAACATGACGGCGCCCGTAGTTTTTGTATTCTTGACCTGTCGATAATTTATCTCATTCTTGAGCTGCTTTCGAGAAAACAGTTCAATTTCTTCACGTGACACGCTTTCGACTAATAAAACGTGAATAGGCCTAATATCAGGTGTCTGGTTTTCCTTTTTCCTGACCAGTATTCAGTAGACTGCCATTTGGTACATCCAATATTCGGCAAAGTGGTCCCTCTTGCATTTCGTTGAATTTCATTGTACTATTTGGGCAACCCTTATATAAAATTCAAATATGACCAAACACTGCTCTCGAGTAGCCTATGTGTACGCCTGCTAGACGTCTTGCTCTATTACATTTTCATTGAACAAAAATTTTTAGTTAAAATGACATTAGACTTTCTTTTTTGTAATGTCCATTTTACACATGTTTTACCTCATTCAAGTACGAAGAAAATGGTATTAGCTCATTGACGTTAAAGACTTGGAAATTTATAGCTTGGCGTTAACGAAATAAAGACAAACATCAACTAAAGCTTGTCGTTAGCTTAAATTTATTGTTTTTATTGCCAATTGATCGCAATAGAAGGCATAATTACGTAGTAAGCTCAAATAGAATTGTGCATTATTAGTCTGAAAATACTAAGAATTCTTGGCGTTTGAACTGGAACTGCAAAGCAATGATGACATGACTTTCTCCTACTTAACATTAACGTCAAGCTAAAACTTTCTATTTTAGATTCTGCATCATACTGTTTTGTAATTTACATATTTATTTTTCGAAGGTAACTATGCTTCCTTGGAATGAAGATGAATTAGCTTTAGAAACATCGCAGCTTTGTCACGATCTTGTTGATTTAAACCGCAACGGAGTACTTACGATCAACAGCCAACCTCATGTAAACGCGGCGAAATCAAATGATCCCGTTTTTGGTTGGGGTGGAGATGGTGGATATGTTTACCAGAAAGTATGTTTTATTATGTACTTTTATGGGATTTTTACAATGGAAATGTATAAAACTGTAGTCTGGTTTTCATATGACATAGTTTTTTCAGAATTCGTTTGGTCTAATAGTTTGTCAACTATGTTTTTCAAATCACACAGTTCTAGTAAATTGATGTAATTCATTCATCTCAGTTTGTTGTAATTGAAGCTTTCTCACCAAAATGTTGTAAAGTTTTATCCCAGTTAACGAGAATTCCAATATTTATGATGCTAATCAGCGCTAAATGTAACCAAATGTAACATGTTTGTGCAATATTTTCAAACACATGCCTTTAATTTGTTTTTAGGCTTACCTGGAGTTTTTTACTCGAAAAGAAGTTGTATTTGAATTATTGAAAATCCTGAAGAGTGATTATCCTAGCGTGAGCTACCACGTGGTTGACTATGCAGTAAGTCAAACTAACTATGAAACTATGTAAAGTAAATGGTTAGAACCCGGGAGTATCGTTACATGTTTGTAGATGTAGATCGTTCAGGTTGTATAGTCCTGAGAAGGACTGTTTTTGTTGTTGTTGACTGACGTTTCGACAACCATTTGACTCCCAGATGACTAACGCTAAGATTGTCAAAACGTCAGTCAACAACAACGAAAACAGTCCTTCTCAGGACTATACCAACCTGGACGATCTACATTTACAAATATGAAACTATGTATTATTTCAAATGCGGTTTGCTGATTTATCAAATTTTTATATGTGCATAGCAAGTGTTATTAGGTAAAATTCTTTAGCTGTTTAAAATTCACCGACTATTAGCAATCCGCAGACTACTGGTAATCATGCAATGATTTGCCTGGCCGAAAGCGCGTATGTTTGCTTTGAATATTACTGCATGGATAAAAAATGATTTTGAAATCAATACAGCTTTTGCAAAGAATTGTGGGAAAGGAGATTGATGACATTTAATTTTATGTTACATTATTTAATTAATTAAATTGTATTGCATAACTTATGTGATATCTTCAGATACAGCGATATATATTTACACGAGACTTCACATATGAGCTATAGATGCGTATAATTTTACAGGGTAATATAAATTTTATTATGAGAAGTGTTGGGAGTTTCGATGGCTAGGCAATATTAAGGATTCTTTGCAATTACTCTTTTGAAAATTCTATGTTAGGCTGTCATTTTGAGAACCTACTGATTATATATTTTGTTGAAACTAGTAATTATTAATAACCCTTATTAACCTAGCTCGAGGTCGTTACTGTGAAATGTCGGACCGAAGTTTTTTTGTACAGACCTATCCCGTTTTGTACAGGCAAGGCTTGAACAAAAACTCAGAGGTCCGATATTCCTGTGAAGACCAAGAAAGCATAGTAAATAAAAGGTTTATTACACGGCATTTTCTAACCTGACGCGAAGCTTTCTTTCTTTATCGTCCTTTCTGATTTTACGGGTTGGCTTTCACTTCAGCATTTTTGTCAATAAAAAATTTTTTTTCAAGAAAACCTTACTTCGACTAACAAATAAACTGAGCTATAATTATCAAGGCTTGCTTTGATCATCAGCCTGACTTATCATTGTTTTTGCCTAACCAAAGTGTTATGTGTTACGAACCAAGCCCGAAGCTTTGTAATTTCTTAATTCCTCCATATCAAATGTCAATTGGTATTGCCTTCAAGTAGCTGCTAGAATTAAGTTGAACTAATACGACAGTGAAAAAGTTTGGAAGTTCGTTTTTGCTTTATTTTTCAAATTTCGTTTTGACATGGTTTTCTGTGGAAAGTTTCTAAGTACCTTTGCTATATTTTGATGAAGGGAGGAAATTTAAACAATTCATACATAGTGTAATCTTCGAGAAGGTGTGTGAATATAATTTATGTACGTCGTGATTTAATGTCGTTAGTCAATACATTAAAGTTTATAAAGGAAGTTTTCAAGGTCCTATTCTTTTGACTATTTTGCAAGATCTGAAAAAAAATTATTGTCTTTGTTGTAAATTTTGTAACACTTGAATGTCAGTCGTGTAAAGGATAGTACTCTGGAACACCCGATTTTTTCTCGAAAAGCGTTGTATTTGAAGTCGTGGGCCTTGTAATTGAATAAACCAGACAGTGGAGTTTTCTGTTGTGTAAACAGTTCAAACGTGAATGTTGAGTAAACTTCAAGAATGAGTACGTTTTTAATTTTGTTCTTTGTATTTCAATATGTGCAGATGAAGAACTCTGAAATGATCATTATCTTAAGGAGGCAAAGTTTTGCAATTATAAATTTTTGAGTAAATGCTTAAAACACATTCTTAAATAATATGAACAACAGCAAATGTTTATATAAAAATCCGCATGGATTTTGCTTTGTCGGTGTATTGAGGGATGTAATTAATGAACTTTTATAACAGTTTTAACAATTTATGAGGAATATTTTATTTTTTTATTTTGCCTGATCAGTTTACACAATATACAATGGCCTACTGAAAAAGCAAGAATTAGGAAACTTTTTGTTGGAATTACAAAACGCGTGAAACCAGATTGTTTACTTAAACTTAAATTGACAATGACACCACACCATCGAACCTCCTTAACAAGCTGATGAGGCCATCGTTGATGCTGACGAAAGGAACGAAGAGCTCGCTACTTTGAATGATAAAATATCTAAACTTTTACAATTGAATAAAAAATGAGGTTGGAAAATCAATAGCTGAAACCTGAAAATGCACAGTGGCCGGTCGTTGCAATAAAATCCTTTCGAGAAATAGGATTGATCCATTTCTTTCGAAGATCTATGTGCTCCCTACTTTGACCTCCAGGGAAATTGTAAAGAGAAAGTTCAGGATTTCTTTTTTTTTTTGTTTAAAAAGCAACCAGGTACACAACATGTAAATCCACCACTACCCACTTTTCGTTTTGTTGACGACATATTGTCTAGCCTAGATTCTCCGCAACTTTCTGAGCTAGAAGTCTCCTGAAGACTAGGGCAAGAGTTCTCAAAAGAACTAGGGCCTTCAGTCGTACGTCTTGATTCAGAAACGTGACTAAGAACAGCAGTAAACTCACTTTCGCTAGTGGCCATATTGCAATGTTTTCATGTGCGTGGCTCATGGCGTGAATACTAAGACCAAAAGGCGCGCTTTGCGTTATGTGATGTAATAATACCAGTTGTCTATTGTTTGTGTTGTTTTTGACAACCTGGTCCAGGCTCCTTGTTCCCTCCAGGTGTTATAGCACCCAATGTTTCAAACATTTGATCAAGTGCACTGCTCATGCTCGAACAGTCTTCCCGTGCGTGTATAATTTCTCTGAAAAATTTTGACTATTTAGTTCAAAATTAGGTCTAGTTGATGCAGTTGGTCTTCGCCATGACCACGAACTCGAACAGTTGGTTGAGTGGACTGTGCATGCTCAATTGATTTTTTCAAATAAATTGTGACCGATGGAAACTGACCTCTATTCGTATGTCGAGGGACTGCGCAATGTCGTGGCGTGTTGTTCGTTACCTTTAGCTTCTTTCAACAGTTGCATTTTGAAAGTCAGGCATGCCTTCTTGCGTACAGCCAATGTAGGCAATACACAGCAACACAATCATAGACATTACGCTTTTGCAAAAAATATAATTGATTTCATGTAAATCGTGAAAAACAATTGGTTATTTAAACTATTTGTTGCGACAAGTTTATTAGGAATGTTTTTATTTTCCATGAAGTCAATGAATATTTGCGTCATGATACATTTTAATCTTTGAATGACGTATACGTCATCTGCTCATGCTGATTTTGAAAGGCGTGAACAAACTTAATCCCGCGAGTAATTTTCTTTGTTTGCGAGATTCGTGTTTGTACTTCGTGTACATTCAAAACATTTCAAAACATGGCGGAGAAATGAAATAAATGTATGAAACATTTCATGGTTCATTGAAATTACTAGTTAAAAGGCGGTTTTTTTGTGTTTCAAACCTTGCACTATTCTTGGATCGCTAGTACGTCAAATCAGTTTAATGCTGCAATTAATTACTGTTAGCTAAATGATATTTTCATTAGATACTAAGCTTTAAAACTGTCCAATTATCTTTTTAAGGGCAAGGTTGATGAAGCAAGTACTCTAACACCAATTGCTGTTACTTGGGGAGTATTTCCAGGAAAAGAAATCATTCAACCCACGGTGGTTGATCCTGATAGCTTTCAAATTTGGAAGGTATTTCGTCCATATAGGTAGAGAGTAATTGCCAATCAGTGATTTTAGCACACTTAATATGGACTATGTAAAGCCATAAAAACGGAGCTATGGTTTGTTGCCTTAAACTACTTCGTATGTATCTTGATTTTTGTTTTCATCATGTTCGTTTCGACTTGCCTTTCGGTTGTTCGCTAAACGTATTTTGTATTTTTACGACACAAGACTTGCCAAGCTACACGCATGCATTTTAATTTTTTACTTAGCACGGGCATTTTCCAATACCATCAAAGTAAATGGCATGATGGTATATTTCTTTGTGCATTTTGTTTGCGTCATTTGTTTTGATCACTTTCTTGTCATAACTTCAAAGCGGTTTATATTTTTGTCGAAACAAAACGATCGTTGATCACAACTAGTTACATTTGGGCTACCGAAAGTGAGCCCGAGTTTAAAATTCGGATTTTTCCGTACTGTTGCGACAATACATCAATTACGCGTGACTGACCCGAATTCCCTTAACCAATCAAAATCTTTTATGAATCGTTTCACGCGTGTCATTAGTGACACGAATAATGACACTCGATTTACTTTAATGTAAATAAGACAGCACTGCCGTGAAGTTTGTTGTACTATTTGTAAACACTTATAATACGCAAATATATAACCTAAGGCGGTTCTCGAGTAACCCAAGTGACGCCTGACAGGTATCTTGTTTTTATATAAAACTGAAAGAACGTTAATGTGTTTTTCCATGGACAAAATATATCAGGATGTATTGTAAGCTGGTGTTACTGCACTTTAAATCCTTTAACTACCAGAAGATTTTCGTGTTTAATTGCTTTTTTATGATAACTTTCGAGTTCCATTGAAAAGGAATTCTACGATCGTACCACAAATACACTGTACCTGGATTATTTCGGTCCAAATCATTTTAGTAAAGAAAATCGTTTATCAAACTTAGCGATTCCGTTGATTTTTGACTTCATGTTGTTCTTCTTCGTGCTTCGGCAAATCGGCTCAGCGGTCGCTCTATGATCTCATCACGTGTTTCTAAGTCGTACGTGCCAGTGTATTTCTTTGAAAATAATGCAGTATTGGTTTCTCGTTTCAAAGAGCGCAATATTACCTCAATTACCACAAAGTTATCATTCGCAACAAATAACATTGTGAACAAGTCGATTTGTGTAAATGGTGACAATGGATTTTGTGCTATGGATCTTTGTATGTTCAGCTTCTATACTGTAGTTTATCATGGAAGCCTGAACTTTTCGTTATGCATGTAAATGTCGAGGTTGTTTTGTGACGTTAACAACTTCTTGATTTCAATTAGCAAATTCTAGAATATCATGTTAATATATTTTTAATGGCAATCAGTTCCAGGTTCGAACTGAACTTCGCCTGCTTCCGTATAATTTATGCAACTCATATAAACTCTTACTCTTAGAGCTAGATGCTCTCAAATCCAATTCACCCTTGAAAAACATCAAATATTCTTGATTAACTGTGTTACAAAACCCTGCAATGCAATGAAGTCACAAACGTAGTCGTTTACCCGATTCTCGGCAGCACGATGAAGAGCAATATGGTTAGAAAAATCCAAGAAATTTCTAACCCTGACAAAGCATCTATACTTTACTAATATGATTTGGACCGGAAGATTCCATCAACAAATTATTGCTGGTGTAATGTTTCTATTAAGCTTAATGTGTTTTTACCCTGGAATGCTCTTGTAGTTAAGATAATCGGTTTATCTATATTGTTGTTCGAAATATTAACATCATTTGTATTGTCCTTTCAAACGCTGCAAATAGTCAAACTCGTGTGTTTCCTTTACGAAATTGAGTGTTTTCTTTTTATTTTTTGTAAAAGGATGAAGCGTTTGGCTTGTGGAAACACCAATGGGCGCGACTCTATCCAGAGGGATCAAAGTCACGTGACTTAATCGATAAAATTCACGATGAGTACTTTCTCGTCAATTTGGTTGACAATGACTATGTTGCAGGCAATTGTTTGTTTGAAGCAATAAAGAAAACCATCGAACGTTTGAATTCAAATGTGAAACAATCAACTGTAGTTGGGGCTACGAACGGCATTTTGCCCGATACTCATTAACGCTTTATTTCATTTCTGACTTATCAATAAGTTCAATTATCTCGATTCATTAGAAAGGATATTAATATACATGTGTATTAGAGGGCGAGTTGATGCGATAAAAATATGATTGGAAAAAGTTTCACTTTGACATTTTTTAAAATTTCCATTGTATAAATAAACGAGACGTAAAATGGCAACAGTACATTTTTGTCTCATAACTATTATTGTAAGAAAATCATTCAATAAAGAGTTGAATCTTTTATGGGTGAAATTTCCAATCCTTGCTTAAAATTATTTCATCCCTTAATAAATGTGGCCTGCCGAACACATATCAGCAGTTCTACTCAGTTGTAAATAATATAATGAATTCTGCAATAAAGTAGTGATGGTAAGAATGAGAAAAGTATTTCAACCGTTAAAATTAACGATTTGCGACTTGCTCGTTTTTTCATAGGTGATGTCAACATATATCTTCTATTATCACCGAGAAAGTGTATTGTACAAAAAAGTAAATACGCAATGGGTACAAAGGTCAACTATTGTATTTCGTTTTGTGTCTTATTCTAGTATTCTATCACGTTTTATCTTCTTGCCAGGCAACACCTTATATTAGAACCTACTTACGCGTATAAACAAATGCTTTTAAAAATAAGCGTAACATATAATATATATTTTATAGTGAAATAATTCGTAATCTCATTGGATAAGAGCATCTGAGCATGCTCAAACGCGACGTTTACGTCATCTGGTCATGCTGACTTTGAAAGGCGTGACCAAACTTAATCCCGCGAGTAATTTTCTTTGTTTGCGAGATTCGTGTTTGTAGTTCGTGTACATTCAAAACATTTCAAAACATTCTCTTTATAATTTATCAATTATTTCCATATATATATATGCTGCCAGACATCGTCAGTTATTTGCCATGAAAGCTTTTCTTGGTTTTATAATCTGGCTACTAAAATATTATCGTAAACCGACGGACGATGCCGAAATTGTAAACAACATGTCGTCGAAGCTTTCGGGAGAGCTGATACACAAGGAATGATTTACTTTATGGAAGTGCGAAGTCAAGATAGAAAGACCAGTGATTTGCTAGCCGTGTCTCTTGTTTCTGGTAATCAAACTGCTCTTCATGTCATGGACGATTACATTCTAAGAATTTCAAGATCAATTAGTACACATGGCGACTTGTAAATTCATACTACGTGAAAAGAACGTGGCTCTGGCCTTAGTCTTAGTCTTGTATTGTGGCTAACTTCGTCCTCAATTTTACTTCTGTATATTTTCTTTGTAAATGCTAGTGCTTTCTACTTTTTTCAAAACAACATTGCCAAAAAAAGGCTTTTCTTAATTCCCACATAATTGAGTTTTCTTATGGTGACACAAAATGGTATTATAAATCTCCTATCATTAATTAGCTGCATGATAAATGTCAAAGACATTCTTAGAGATGTTTATTTCATTAATGTTGGAGTATTTCTTTGATAAGGAACTACACAATTATTTTACTCCTGTGCACAGGAAAACTTTCACTTGTGCATATTTTATAGTATTGTTAAATTGCCTCCCCCGTTTGTATTGTCTTCATGCGGTTACACAGAACATACATAATTGTTTACTATTTTAACGAACGAGAGTGGATTGCTTCGTGTAGTACAAATTATAGATAAATGGTTGGGTAGATGTTGTCGTTTTTAGGATCTTAGACGGTATAAATTTGAAAATTTTAACGCTCGGGGCGAACCAAGATGGCGCCTCGTCACGTGAGGTTCTTACAGAACATGGCTAAATATTTTTTGTTAGCCACGCCACTGCAAGAAATCTTGAAAATCTTAGAAATAAATTCATTGCTGCTTTTCTGTTGTATCTTATATCTTTGATAATGTCTCTTTCGAAGGATTTTGTAAAAAGTATGTTTCGTCTTTCATCCAGTTGATTAATTGAACGCGTGTTTACTTCGGTTTGAACAGAATACAAACAATTCTGACAAGGCAATGTTATAAAACTTTGTTATAAAATGTTTTTTGACAAATGTTTCGTAGTTATAAAACTCAAGTGCAATATACATTAATTCTGCTTTAGATTTTTCTCACCATAGCTGCAGAGCATTCTGACTAGTGTGTGACACAAATCAATGCCGAACTAGCTAGACTTAGGTCCCTATACTGAATGAAAGTAGGATCACCCGAGCAGAAGGGTTACAGTAGAAAATGAGTGAAAATACTGATAGCTTCAAATCTTATCAAAGCGAATGACATTTTAATCGGATGTTGAATCAATGATAAAATTATAATGCCTAATTATTATCAATCATTCAATTTCTGACGACATTGGTTCAAAATGCAGATTGCAAATCAACAGCAATTGTATATCATAAAGCTTTTTTTAGGTTGATGTGCAGTCTGTAATTAAGCAAAACCAACGAAAAGAAACGTCCATTGGACTTTTTGGCAAGATAGCTTTATATTCTTATAAATTAATTTTTCTGAAGTAACAGAAAAATAAGTATCACTTGCCTGCAATTAATCTTTCGACCTGACTACCGTACACGTGTTTTACTACAAGGACAAAAAATATTCGAACCTTTTTAATGGCTGTTAGGCTTTTTGCCACATTTTTGCTCTCTACCATTTCTCCCCAGTTGATTATTGAGGCATTTTTTTAAAGACTTAAAAAGTAAATGTGACTCGTTTTACTCTGATTAATAATGTAGTTTTGAGATAATTCTTGACTGTGTTTGGCTGAGTGCAGTGCAGTTTATCTGTAATTGCACAGTTAAAATGTGTAATTGCTGTGTTGAAAAGCTGTAATTGCACTGTAGAAAAGTTCAATTGCTGTGTTGAAAAGCTGTAATTGCACTGTAGAAAAGTTTAATTGCAAGTGAAAGCCAAACAAACTACTTTTCAAATAAAATTAAACATGGCGGCAGTTGTAAGGTACAAAGATTTCCACAATTAAAATTAACTGGTTTATGTTTAGCCGTAATCGCGCACGACATTATACTAGCACCTGTACTAATAAGAGATTTCAGCACTATTCAAAACTATAAAAATGAAAAACAAGCAATAAACTAAGGTTTTAAGAAAGGAAAGCTTTTCATTCTCACGTTTGGTCAATCTTTTTGACAAACTTTGTGTTGACGGATTTGCGACCATGAAGGCATTCAAAAGATATGTGCAGCCAATCCAAAATCAAAAGACAAAATTGACAATTAATGTTTGGGTGAAATAAACGTTGTGCCAAGCTTTTCATGTTTAATGGTGAAGGAAAAACAAGGGCTTTACCAGAACGTAAATTTGGGAGGAGTGGGTGTTATATTCGTAAATTTAGCTATTGCCGATTGAATTGTTTTGAGCATGAATGTAGGCTGAAGTGATCAATCGATTATTTCCTATTTGATGCAGCAAATGAATTTGAATATTCGAGGAAAATAATTAATCTGTGGACCATGCAAAAATTTTTTGAATTTCTTTCCTTTGATCTCTCTCATTAATACTAATCTTCCTTTTCCATGTCTTTCGTGTTTCTATACATTGTCAAACTTTCGACATTTTATAGCATTATTTGTTTTCGAATTCATTAACCATTTATCAAATTCCTCTCTTTTAAAACAATTCTTTTAAGCAGTCGTCGATTTTCAATTACCTATTCTGCTAGTTCTATTGTCATAGAAGGAATGTATGTATAAATTTAAACAAAGTTTATTCGGTCAGTTTGATTATTCACATTAATAGTTGATGTTTCTCTCACAAACTACGAAAGGTAGCATTGAGTTTCGCCCAGTTTTTCTAATGGACACTGTTTTACTAATTTAAAGCGATTCGTTCTTGAGCATTGTTCCCATGTTGTATAAGTTTACTGATCATCACGAGTAAATCCTGGATTTTCTAGTGACGGAATTTCTTCAAGCTTGATACCATTTTGTGCAATCTCTGCATCCTATAAAAGTACATTAAATTGAAACTTATAAAGACCAATGCTATATTCATTAACCTTTAGACTTTTCTTAGCTTAATTTGGCGATAGCCGTGGAGTAGAATCTATGGCTTACCAAAGCAGATGTTGAAATGCATGATCAAAGGTAGAAAATTGTTTTTTATATTTTTAAGTTCTATTTACGAATAACAAAACTAAATTGAATGAAGTTATGATTTTTTATTTGAATCAGGTGACTCAACGGGATCCTGAGTCACCTGATTTCCTGAACGATTAAATCCAGCAAAACTTCATTTAATTTCAAACACCGCACTGCATAAAACATTCATAAAACTAAATTGATTGAACGAAAACTTATAAAAAGCACGATGCATGAACGTTGCTTTAATTACAAGACCTGCTTTATTTACAAGATCATTTTATTTCTGAAAATGCTTTATTCAACTTACCACCGTAGTAGTGTCATCCTTGCCGTAGTAGATCTGAGCAATTTCCTCGTAAGTTTTATTTTTAGTTTCTTTGACATACTTATACACTATAACTGCACCAATGGCGACGACCACCAAAAATGGAAGAAACGTGTAACCTTTGAATCCATCCTAAACATAAATTTGTAACTTTATAGAGTGATACCATGCGTAGGGAAATGACTAAAGATTATAAAAAAGACAAATAATATGTTAAATGGTCACACTTTACGTGTTTTGAAATAAGTTATATTGCCCACTTACCAAAATAAATGGAAATGTTATTCCAACGAGGAAGTTACAAAGCCAGTTAAGCATTCCGGTGAAACTCATGGCAGCTGGTCTCGGCCCTTGTTTGAATAATTCTCCTCCAATGAACAGAGGAATGGGTCCTAAGGAAAAAAGCATGTGCCATTATGTGGAATGTACTTCGGTTTAATCATTATGTTGGAATTTTAAGTAACTATACAAATTATAAAAGATAAAAAGAGATGCCGGTGCACTAAAAGTTCAGCCTTGCATATTCTGTGTTGAAATCTGTGTAATTTTCTCAAATAAGATGATTTTTTCTTTAATAAATTTACATTACAAAACCGTTCATGAATAAAACTATATTCTTTGCAATTTTATTACTAGTACAGCATTATCATCAATGTAGTTTTGAAGTTTTTAAAATTGCGATCTACTTTGCTCAGCACTGGATGCTCCATCGCCATGATGATTTTGAAAATGAACATACATACTTTCTGCTTCAAAGTAATTTTATGCATTGCTCATATTTTTAATTTTAGAGCGAGGTTTAGAATTATTTTATACTGCATTGTAAAATTAAATTTATTTTAATGCTACAGTATTTAAAGCCGGTGCTACGTCCAGGGACAAAGCACGTCCCTGTCTTTTATTCCAACAATGCAATTTTTTCAACAAAATTATCATTCATTTCTTTAGAAAATTGATTTTATTTATTCTTTTTTCCAGTGACATCACAACAAAAAATATTTGCATTGTTGGAGTAGAAAACGGGCTGGCTTTCATACTGGCTACATCTTAGTTTTCAACGATCTATTTATTTAGCATCACGCGTAAAGATTCTTCATTAAAACACGTAAGTTTACCCACTAAATCTCACAAAAAAATTATTCTAATAAACTGCGGAGTCTTACCCAGGCCAACAGCAAAAGAAACGACAAAAGTGAGGGTGCATATGAAACTGACAATGGCGATTCCAGGAGCAATATCCTGTAATTGACGAGAAATGTTAACTTGAGTATGCTGCTTTTGAATAAAACTTTTCCTTAAAAATTGTACGTGCCGTCTTCAAACTATGGCGTAGTGTAAAAATTATACAATATGTTCCGTACAATTGGAAGAATTTAGGTCTTGTGTTGTAATTAACTGATGCGTACTTAAAAAGAAATTTCTGTGTAAGAAAACTGGGTTTAGATTCTTACTTAAAACAGCTTTTGTTTCAAATCGATACGGCACCAGGAAACAGAGATTTTTTGTTCTTATTCTTATGTGCTTTATAAAATTTAAAAAGATGTTGTGTGTTGGAAAATAATAGCCTATTTGTCTTCTCGTTTTGGCTGTTATTGTACTTAATTTTACGATGGAAATGAAAGGCAACCTGCAAATTCAATCCAAGAGTTATAAATGCAGCAGATATTGCCATACCAATCAACCCATACAACAATAATGGACGTCGTCCTGCTTTCTCCATCAAGAATACCTTGAATTGACATACAATATAATTATAACCGAGATAAAAAATATTTAACTGATCATTGCATAATAATTGAAAACTAATATCTTTTCCACTCTTTATTTTTTATATCAATAGTAATCATTTTTATATATGCAGCTTGAAAATTAAACCAAAAATATTACTTGGTCTTACCGCAGTGGTTGTCATGGCAACATTAATGGCACCGGCTCCAATTGTTGCGTACTGCACATAGTTATCAGGTATGCCAGCTTTCTTGAAGATTCCAGTCGAGTAGTAAAACACCTTGATATAGAAAATGCAAATGGTAAGAATAAGTATTTTTGTTTTAAACTCAACCTGTATTATTATCTTGGACATTCCGTTCAAATTCACAAAGTGTTGTCATGAGCATGAAACGGAAGTAAAAAAAGTGCATTACTATCAAGGAAGACATTCAAAATGAACGTCTGAGATACATAATAATGTAAGTTACGAAGTATAATTAACAGACACTGTCGTGAAGTTTGAATGTTTAAAAGCTATAATGGCTCAAAAAAGCTCAGTACCTTTTCTACTAAAAACTACACTTTGTTTTATAAAGAAACTGCTTAAGTATGACATAGTGAAATATAAAGGAATCTATTTCGTGAACAGGAAAATGAATTTGCTGGGCATTGATTTGTTACAGAAGTTTTTAAATTGTATTTTTTTACTGTGCTTTCATTGTAATTCAAAAATCATCTGATTTACTTACGACATTGATTCCGGAGCATTGTTGACTTGTTTGCAAAAAAGCAAGGATTATAAGTGGGAAGCGGAGTTTCTTTGACTTCAAAAGTTGTCTCATTGTCCATGCTGGCTCAATTTCCATTTGCCTTTGCTCTTCTTGCATTTCCGCAATGTCGTTTTTGATGTCGTGCTTTTCTCCACGAAATGCTTTCAATGCTAAATATGGAAAATTTTTATATATTTCTGATCTGGTACATTTGAACTAATTTTCCAAAGTAGCAACTGTTATTTAGGGTGAAATGAAGGTCTGCTTTAAACTTTAGGAGTGCATTTCTCCTACATTCAGATAAATCTTCCTTCTTACACTTGAACTCATTGCTGTCCGCAGCCAAGTTACATATGAATCGACTTTTTAGATGGACAGAGCAAGTTAAATATTTGGTACGAAAAATGAAAATAAAATCAAAAGTTAGTATGCAACAATTTCATTGATGAGGGTGCAACACCATATCTTGTTTGTCAAACCACCTATGGTAAGAATAGTCAAAGTTTCGCCACATAAATTTGCTACCTATTGTTTAAATTGAATTTTTATGGGGAAGTCTATTATGGAATTGTTTCTTCTTCTACAGTACATTGTGCACAGTTGACCAATTCAGGTCTGGGAACCCTTGTGTTTGACTCGTTACAGTTGCTTATTTTTTAGTAATTCATCAAAATTTAAATTTTCAGTTATTTCTCCGGCTGCTCCAAACTATGCTACAAAGTTCCCGCTGTTCCAAATTATCCGAGTAGATTTTTTGTTCACTTCATACTCTATATTTTATATCTTCACTCATACTTTATACTTTTTACATATAATTTCTTTAATTCAAATTTTATGTTGGCTATTGTTTTTTTTTCATACGAATTCCAAAAAAGTACCTTGGATAAAAATTTTAACATTTTGTTGTATTTAGCGAAAACAATTGAAAAGTTTTTCAATTGAATTTTTGTTGTGGTGTGTTTCTTTGTCATTCTGATCTTTTATGGTAAGTGTAAGTGCACTTGCTTCACGCAAAATACTAGATAATTTTTAATTAAATTGCAATCAACGTTCAAAATATTTATTCAGTATTTTACCATTCTTTGCTTGTTCTTCGTTTTTCTTGATTATGAGAAGATAACGAGGACTCTCAGGAACAAACGGGAGCATGAAGGACACAATAAACCCTGGGACTGCGGAGAAGATTAGAAGAACAGGCCATAACTCTTCGCTTCCTAAGAAATGAATATAAAATTTACTCACCAAAAATTTATATATGAAGCTATATATTTCACAATACAGTTATATTACTTCGAATAAAATACTTTTACTGGAGTTACTTTGTAATTTTTTAAAGTTTTTAATGTACATTGTTGATCCTAATACAAAGTACACGTCACATAAGCTAAATGCATGTGTATGCTGTTCTAAAGCGCATCATTTGCTAAACATTGCCTTGTGACATAATGGTGATACATTATTGCCAAACTCTATGTTTTTAGTTTAATTTTGCTAGCAAAGGATTTTTTCGAAAAAGGCACATAACGAATTTATCCATGAAGACATGTACTGAGACGAAAACGACTTGGAGTCCGTATTGAAAACGCGAGGCGTATAAGAAAAAATCTCTAGTTCTGATTTTTCAAATTCCCTGTTGATGATAATAAATTTTACGGTGTAGCTATCACCAATTTTTTCTTGACTCCATGACTTTCGTCTTTTTTTTAAACACTTTTTCACATTTCATGCTCAAATGGCATGATGTCAATTTTTATTAATAACCAGTATAAGAAATTCACGTTTCTGTGCTCTCAATTTCTGTCATATATAAAATGAATCTTGGAATAATTCGATAGAAACGCTGATTCCTGAGAATGTCTGAATTTTGATCTCTTGATCGGAGACCTTTCTACATTCATAAGACGCGTCTTTTTGATAAATTTCCTAGAGTTTTATTCGGTCTCTTATTTTTTGATCATAAGTCAAGTATCGTAACATTGCTTTAGATTTAATCTGTTCTTAAAATGTAGCGGAACAAAATGTGTCTTCGAGCCGCGTTTGTTAGTAAAAAAAGAACTGTTTCGCAATATTTATAAAGATTTATATGTCAATTAATGGTTGAATTAAAGCATTTTAAATTATTTCATATTTTGCTTAAAGCGTGTTTAGATAAAAAATTGATTTTTAAAGTATTTCCTTTTGCAAACTCAAGTTTGATTAAAAGCCAGCGTCTTCAGCACATAGCTTTTATATTTTCATTTGCTGTAGTAATAGAATACCAGCAATTATTACGTGAAGTGAAATCATAAATGAAGAAAATATAATACTTTTGCATATCGTCCAAACATTACAAGAAAACTGGCATCTGTACAAACCTAGTAACTGCTCCAATCCTAATATTTGTGAAATAAGAATTCCTATCGTACAGCCCAGCTGATGCAAAACACCAAGTGATCCTCGAATATGTTTTGGTGAGCTTTCGGTCAAATACATTGGCACCACACCGCCACCAATTCCTAAATAGAGGAAAATTTATATCACGTGTGTGCTGTATGGTTTTAAAATGTTTCTGCACGACTTTTTCAATTCTTATTGCTGAATATAGTTACCGGATGATAATCCAATGAGAAATCGAGCGACAATGATCATTTCAAATCGTTTTGATGGTTTGGCGATGCCAAAAAATAGCGCGGCAGCAAAGGCAAGTATGTGACTTAATTGTATAGCTCCTCTCCTATAAATTAAATTGATAAGTTTTCAGCTAATTTTTTTTGTAGTTCTCTTTTTTAAACCAAAACATGGCGTTGTTTTTAAAAATAAGAACTACAAAAAGCACAAAAGTAAAGAATCGAGTAGTATATGACATGTTTTTTAACTTGGTTCTGTAAAGTGATCATGATAAAAAATTTTACCATAGACTTTTGATTCCAATGCAAAGACAATTTAAAGGACTTCTTTATATACAATAAGCTCTTCAATAAAAAGGTGATATCGATTTTAGTTCACTTTGATAGATATTTAAAATTTTTAACGACGATGTTATGACATTATATTTCCAGCACAAATAGCCTTGGGACCTAGCATTTTTGTCGACAGTCAAGACTAAATGTCTAATTTAGCACCTTTACATGGTATTTGTGCATAAAATGTCTTGACGATGAGGAAAATTGATAGTTTTAAAATATATTAAGCTCTATAATGTGTCATAACAATGTTATTTGCATAAGTAAATAAAATTAAATATCTCCAGCAAAAAGTAAAATAAGAAATTTTCGCTGAAGAATTTATTAAATGATTTTATATGTCTTATGTAATCCAATCAAATAAACTCGTGATGAAATTTGTGTCGTAATGAATAACAAAGAGTATTATGAACGTGTTTTCTACATTCGCCAAAGTTAATACATTTGTAATACAATACCATTGCTAAAGTTTATACCTTTGCAATACGAAACCTTTGTTAACGCTTATACCTTATCAGTACAATACCTTTGCAATAAGTTTATAACTTTGCTAAATTTCATAATTTGCCAAACAAATAAACAAAAACTGTAATGAACAAGCTTTAAATTTTGATAACTTTATACCTTCCAAATCTGTTGGCAAGATATCCAGCACTAAATATTCCTATCATTCCACCAGCAAGATATATTGAAACAGTGAAGGCCCACAGAAAATTTAAAAGTGAGTCCGACATTTTTTTATTGAATCTTTCCGTATATGTTTCATTGTAAAAGGAACGAAAGATCTAGAGAAGCGAAAATATTGTAAAATAAACAATGCTTGCTGAAATTATGTTTATTCTTATCGCCAAGTTAAATTTATGTTAAAAACTTCAATTAAAAGTTTGTACTTTTCCTCTGGCAAATAATTTTTGCATAAACTCACTTCTTCGGGGGAGTTAAGAACGCCAGTGCTGTAGCCAAATATCACCGATGATCCAAACACGCACAAGAAGCAAGTAAAGATAAGCATCCAAGTGATTGGCTCCTATGATAAAGAAAACAACAGAAAATATAAAAAGAGAATGTAGATATTATAAATGAAAGTATTTGTGCAAGTAAGCAAATGGCATTTTTCGTTAAAGATATTTTTGTCTGAAGCGGTTTATAAAACTGAACCTGAAGATGCTCTCATTTAAGCAGGGGCGCTAAAACGTTAAAAATTGGGACGGTTTTTCATACATTTACGCGTTTCACCAGATTACTTTGATACTTTCTTTTGAAATCACTTGTAGTTTACAAACTCTAACATCAAGTGTATGAATTATCAGCCTCGATTTCGATATTGTTGTTCTAGTTATTTCTGTGTTTTGTCAATGGAAAAGAAACAGATTTCGGAAAAAAATGAGTGATCTGAAATTCACATAGTCTGACAAAACTTGCGTGCATGGCGTTACTGCCAGAACATGTACGTTGTTGCTAGCAACTCTTTAATCCTTAGCTTTTCAAAAGTTTTGGTTCTTTGAATTTTTAATGGTTTCTTTGGTGTTGCCATACGGCAACGCTGGGAGATAGAAAGAAATATAAATGTTTAGCATTTTTATTGTTAGCAAGACTATATGACGTTTTTCATCTTTTCTTTTGAAATTCTAGAGTTATTGAGAGGGGTAGATTATAGCAGTTCAAATATTGACATGGCTTTATTAAATGTATTTATTTATCGACAAAAAAAAACACATAAACTTGTTGTTAACGTTTGCACACATTATATGTTAAAGCGATCATGATGAATAAGATTGTCATCCATGTTTTTAAGAGCTGGAATTTTACATCGTTTTACAGATAAAGATAACATTTGCATAAACACGAAGCAAAATTGAAGTACAACGAGTTCTATACAGAATTCCCTTTGCCATTTTCATTGATGACGTGACGTATGTAAACTTAATTCATGTGAGAGAACATGACGTCTTTCAGCAAAGTGGTAAAAACGTAAACATTAATTAAAATGGGAAAACAACTGACTTCTCATCTAATTTTGTTGTTTACTGAAAGTTTATTGCATAAGAAACACATGCTTTAATTAACAGGTTTTGCCTCTTTCAACCTTTGAACGACTTTGCCAATCAAGGTCTCCAAACTATGATAAGCACAATGAGAAAGGATGAAGCTTGATCATGCAAGGTTGTCATGCACAGGTCACTCATATGACACAACTGGCATGATAACAAACTTTTTCACCACGGTTTCTCAATTTTTTTTGAGATCTGCTGGAAAAATTTTTGTTCAACATAAATTCAATTTTATTGACTTGCATGTACTTGTTAGACAAAAGACACAAAACTAAAGACTTAAACTTACATTAATGTTAGTAAATAAAAGTCAACTTAATTAAAACTAACCGACCTATCTTGTCATTTCCTAAACATAGTTTGTACATCTAATGAAATGAGAAAATTACTGATTGTAATACTAAAGTACTGTCAATATGTGTTCTAATTATAAACCTTCTAATAGGAGTTGCGATGACAGAGAACTTTCTTGCGTCCATAATTTTGTGTATATTCTGCGTATGTTTTCATATTTTAATGTGAATTGATCGAGTTTCAAATAAACTGAATCAATTAAAGAATGCATTTTAAAGATTATTTGAGATGTGAATTTCATCACAAAGTTAAAAGATGAGTTTATTTAAACGAGCATCATGACAAAGTTAACAAGCATGAAACTGGTGCATGTTCAGTTTACAAATTTTGTCAATACACGATCACCATGACAAAGTTCAAAAACATGCAAGTTAAGTTTATAAAATGTGTCAATACACAGCCAGACAATGAGCTCATAATACTTTATCTTCCAAATATCATCTTGTTAGTTGTTAATTCCCCAGCCATGTCGTATAAGACCAACTAAACCTGAGCTTTAGATTTTTGTCGTAGCTTTTTATTTTATATATTTTAAATGGAAATCTCATCATATAATTATTTTGTGACATGACATGTGCAGTGAGTCGAGTAATAGGCTATAACACATAGTTAGAACATAAAAATATTTGTGACATTGGCTTTTGGCCAGAATTCTAACGGCGTGCTCCGCTCCATCGACATTTGTTATCTGGTTTCAATTATATGTATGTATAATACAATTCAAACGTAAATTTTATACAACATAATTGTAAGCAATCCATGCGTCCAAACAAAAATGTTTCAGGATGTTTTTTACCTACTTATAGAAGTAGTATATAAAATAGAGCAGTTTATCGACAACAGACATATGCTACGTAACAATTACAATATCCTCATTTACACTGGTCTAAAAAATTCAAAAAATTCAGTGACATTAGTCCTGTGTATAAATTCACTTTTTTTGAGGCAATAGCTTCGTCAATTTGCCGTACAAACTGTACATTACAAGAGCACTCGCATATATTTAAACTATTCATCTTTTTATATAACTCGTAGATCGTCTACTGACGCAAAAATAACTAAGGTACAAGGTCCATCGAATAATTCGACCTTTGTTACAACAGAGAAATATTTTCGTTAAAATTGTCAAAAAATTATACAAATGTGTATTCAACCGACACCTTATGCTTTTTCTAGTCGTACAATAATCAGTTTTAGCAATTTTAACGTTTGCGTGTGTCGATGTATCTACAGATTGACATGAACGCAGATGACATGCAGGCAATGACTAAGATGAATATATTATATGTTTACACACGAAATTACCACAGAGCATTTATAATGAAAATAATGAACAATACTTTTCTTAAATGAAAATTGATGTGAAGAAACGGACGCAAAATCAATCTTAATATAAATAGAAACATTCCTGGACGTTTTTTCAATATTTTTGGCCTACAGAACAATACGTGAATCATTACTCCCAATAATTACTTGACATATGCAAATCAAAGAGTCAAAACAAAGGAAATCGCAAAGGTAATTAGATTACTCACCTTTTCCTTGGTTTCGTTAGCATTGTTACTGTCGGCCATTTTTTGATTGTATAAGTAACACGATGGTAGCTTCACTTGATCCACTTAGAATGCTCGTCAACTAAAGGCTCTTTGAACTGTGAACATCGGGTGAGTTAACAATATTGCTCGAAATCACGCGTTTCCTTTGCCAAGTCTCGTGCACTTGTGTTATGCTTTAACTGTGTAAAAAGAAGCTGAGTTTCAACGTGCACAACCCATTGCGATTTATTTACGTTTGTGGATATATAATGAAGGATACTTTTCATGTAAAAGGTCAAACCGTGCCCACATATCCTGCTGAGATTTCAAGTCGTGTTTCTGAATATATTTTTTCACTTGAACTCACGGTGACCAGTTTCCTCGAGATAGTCGCGGGACAAACATGCTACCTAACATGACCTTAACTAACATTGAAAACACGTAGAAAAATCCATGTGCTTTACAGGATTAATAACACGCCTCCATGCATGCGAAGTCACGCAGGTCTATTATGTGTAATTGATGCATATTTGCAAACTATCAAGTTAACCAAGCAAACAGATACAAGGGTTGAAATATAAACATATCTGTAATATTCCGACTTCGTTGTTCTTACATACATAAACAGCATTGGTTTACATACCTGTGGAAATATAAGATTCTTGCTAGACAGCCTCCTTTTACAAACTCAAGAGCAAACTCTGTTTTATTTTTGCTTATCCATGACAGTAATTTTATTGGTCAGTCAAAATAAGTATTAGCTTACTGCCGGAAGGAAGCATCCCAGAATCCCGCACTTTCACGATATTCATGAAGAAATCGTCAATTTTTCAGCGATAACCACTTCATTAAATGCTTTGAAATAAATTTAGTTGCTTTCTCCTTAATATTTTTATTCATATTTCCACGTTTAACACTAATCACGACTCAATTGTACTTGTGGCAATGTTGGCGAATTGACTCAGAAAAAAGATGTCCACATTTTCTTTTCAAAGAAAAATCTAATCTGGAAAGAATTAATAAAACGTCATAAGCGTGGCCGAATTTAAAACAAAATGAATATTGGGATAAAACGTAAACGATTAGTAGGGAAATTTCTTTGAGCAACTTAATGTGCATATAAAGGCGCCTTAGATTTCATCTAAAGTTACATAAAGGCGTGTACAAGGCGTGTAAAAGGCTTTTCAAGGAGGTGCAAGGCGTTTTAAGGCAAATAAAAGGCGGTAAAAAGTAGGTACAAGGCGGTACAAGGTAGTTTTACAGTGTGCTAAAGCTATAGTAACTGTACAAGGCCGTGCAAGGGTTTTAAATTACTAAAGCAGTGTTATTGAGGAAATGACTTTAGTAAAGTGCAAAGAGTATCAGTTTACAATCTAATAATTATATTGACATTGCTTATGAATGTGTTTTAAAAACATTTTACATAGTAAAGACAGAATGTCAAGAACTGCCGCTGCGGCGAAGTTTCTTTTCAAAGATTAATTGTAAGGCGGACGTATACATTGCGCGCCTCATATAGCTTTTGTCATTGAATAAAAAGAAAAGATTCGATATGGGCCTTATGGCGATGCAATGTTCTATAAACAATGAAATCTGTTTTATTATAAGTCTGTCTTAAGAGCTTAAAAGTCAACAAAAATATATCCGCATAATGATCTTACAAATTATTCTACTTCAGTATTATGAAGTAAAACGATTGGAAGATGATGTTTACTTATTCCGAGTAACTTGCTGAATGTCAAGCATATGTGTGCATCCTGATGTGAAGTAAAAATAAAAAATAGACGCTGAATGCAAAAGATGTGTTACGTTATAAAACATGCAAAGTCAGAAAAAACAAAGTATTTTCTCTTTCTTAAATCAAAAAGCTTTTTTTCACCAGAGGGTTCTTTTTAATTATGCGTTTAAAGGTTTCTGAGTAATCGCTAGATTATATAGGTCGCTTTATAATTAGCAATTGAATTAAAACTTTATAAACATACGTTTATATTATGAGAATAAAGTTGCATCTTTTGTGAGAACTTTCGTGCGACGTAAAGTTGGACTGAAGCAAGAATGTGCTTGTATTTATGACTAAAAGCGAATTTCTTAAAGGGTGGTATCCATTGAGTTCTATAATAACTGGAGCGGCTATCTCAAGCGCTGCTTTAATTAGCAGCTGACGCCAAAAATGGTGGATTTGTTCCATCACCGCTGAGATTTACCGAAATTGACTGCTTTTCCGAAAATCTCATAATTTCTCTCTCCCTCCTCGAGAAAAAGTGATGGAAAAGTATATGTGTTTTTCGCATATTCGGCAAGCAAATCACTTTATGTTGAAAATCACTGTAAAAACACAAATTTCATAAAAGCAAGTGTACTGTGGTTGCCAGTCCTCGGCCTCTACGACGGATGCCTTTTTTAACGAACGGGCTATTTGTTGGCCAAATAGGAATGCAGATGTGCGCGTCGTAACTGTCGTTTAATGATTTGCTCGATCGAAGTTTTTAGTCTGCGCAAAATATATCAAATTTTATCGCAACGGATCACGAGAGAAATGTTAGCTCATTTATTCTAATTGGTTTTTTGCTTTCTTTTATGTGATGGCCTTTTTCGCAACAATTGTAGGATTCGTTTTTGTACATGCATCTCGCGTTTCGTAAATGAGTAATGAAAAAATATTGTATACAAATCTTGAGAACCTTTGAGATTTTTGTGGTCTGAACAAGAACTGCATCAAATACTTGACAAGTCGTAGCATATTTGATTTCGTAGTAATGATTGTCCAATGGCAAAAATACAAATCATTAAAACACTTAAATTACAATAGTGTTTATAATACTTGAATACATGACTACACAATTGTGTATTTAATACTTCTCTTCTTTTTCTCTTTTTTATATGTTTCCTAATAGCCATTTTAGTTTAAAATTTGATTGACTAATACAGCTTTCACCTCAATAATAAATTTTATACCCATATTTAATACCTGTTGCTATGGGATTTTTCCCTCTAAGTATGCAACATCTTGTGTTGTTTATACAAGAATAATGAAGTGCATGTACACATATAAAAATAAGGCAATAAAACCAAATGAATTAAACACATCTGGTGTTCTTTAATGCTAGAAGCTTAACAGCTTTTCAGAAATTATAGACTTATTAAACTGTACTACCTGTATTTCATTCATATTATGAAATGAATTAAGAAGCAAAAAACTGAAGAAAAACTTGGAAAAAACAAAACATTTCTTTGGTTTAATAAAGGTGAAAATAAAGCAAATGGCAAATGTCCATTCTGTACTTTATTAGGTAAGTGAGCTCTGAGTATTTTTACAGCAAAAACTGAAATAAAGAAGAAATGTATAACACTGAAGTTTTCATCACGGAATCTTTAATGCTTCAATATGGCATGCATTACATATAAGTAACATTCAAACAACATTCTACTAAAATAATTTAATAAAGAGATGTGACATGATTTTACGATTTAGTTGTAAAAACACACTGGATTGTAGAGTTGCAGCTAGCATCATCAATTTCAGTATCAATTTTGATAAAAGCACAAAGTTTATGACCTTTTTACATGACATTTCATCAAGCATCAAGACACACAAAACCTTGTCAACTTTAATTGGTACTTAACCTTTACTTTCAAAGCATTCAAGGCATCTTTATTAAATCCATCATCTCCATCCATAGAATTAGTCCAAGTTCAAATAACTCTTGGACAGGGAAGTCTGTAAATCATTTACCTTTGTTTGTATTCCGCCTTACAATTTTGCAGTTAGACTTTGTTTGGTTAATAGCATCTTCCAATTGTCTTCAGATAGTGATCTATGAAATAGTGTTGGTACTAGTACTGCAGCATATTCCAGAAACATTTTGCTGTCCAATCATTTCTTTATGTTGTCAGCAAATTGATCAGAACAAACTCTGCTCTACATTATGGGTACTCTTTGGGGAAATCGTTTCTTCATAGCATATACCCACTGACTAAAAAGAGCTCAATCTTTTTCACGTTATGGAAACTATTTTGCAAACAGATTTACGGTTTCCCACATTAACAAATAAGAGGAAAAGTATGTTGATATTTAAAAACAAAAATAGGAAAACATAAGTCGGATTTTATCGCTCAGGCTTCAAGTTCAATTGCTTTCAATTTTTGATGAACAAACAAAACAAATATCTCACCTGTGAAAGTGACATGTTCTTTTTGTGAACATTACGTTATTCAACAATTGAATGATTGAAGTGTTTGTATTTTAAAAGAAATGTCAAAGAAAGATATCGTGTTTGTATTTAAAAAATGCTGTATAATTATTTGTAGACATCAGGGGGAGGTCGAGAATATAATTTTTCTGCAAAGTGATCATTTCAGCGGAAATAGGTCCATTGGCCGCCATTTTTGGCATCAGGTCCCAGTCCACTTAGCCGCTCTAGTTATTATGAAACTAAAAGGTGGTATCTGCCCTCCTCCCAATTTGATATTTTTGTCGACCCATTCTTCACTCAATATTCACTGACATCGAAAAAAGACTATTTCAAGCAACTCTATAATTGTAGTAAACAAATTTTGAAGCCACCGCCGCCGTTAGTCAGGGACCAACACATTGAAAGATTTTTGAGGAAAACTATGGAAAACATGGCAAAATATGGCCAAACTAGGCTTTACGATAACGCAGAAGATGAAAAACAACCTTTGTGGCGATGGTATAGCGAGTCAGAAAGAATATAATCGAGCGTATACAACAAAACGCATACAGGTTTCACTCCGAATCACACGTAAAAAAGGCTTGTAATTTTAAAGTATTGATCAGTGTATGATCATAAATATGATTATTTAATCACTTTGTACTTCTGAACTACGATTCCAACAATTTTAGGTTGTTCCATAAAGTTTTTGGCAATTTTCCATAGTTTTTCTATACCACATTAGAGTTACCGATGACAAAAATCTCTGCATTTTTATCATATTTCATCATATTTCATTGTATTTTTAGCTCTTCTATAAACTGATTTATCTCTTAGTTATGTTCATGTAGTTACATGTTGAAAATTCTTGATTATTCTCGTATATTAATCAACAATATATTTACTCCTTATTTTCGAAAGTTGGTCCCTTAGTAATGGCGGCGCTCCTTATTTTTGTCTTAAACTTTTGTGTTAGATGCTTGAACCAGTCTTAATTCGAGATCAGTGTCACTATTGTTCTCCATAAAACTCATAAGCACGCATGCGCCCTGTTACGTTTTGATACGTTACGTTAGGATACGTGGCTAGTGGAAAACAGGCTTATTACTCGTTGTAACGAACTAGCGTTTGTCTTCAAAAGTCGAGACACTGTAAATGTTCTATCTTTGTCAAATTATATTCAAATACACTAATTACAGTCCTATCGTGTATTAAATAGAGATCCAGCATCCCCCCCAACAGAACGCTTAGTTAGTGCGACAAATAGTCCTTCGAGCCGGATTTAAGGATTCAAGAAAGACAGATAAGCAAAACAGTTGATGCCTTACGATGTCAGCTTCGACAAAAAAGAGACAGTCGAGAAGTGGACACAGGGAGTACGCCACAAAAGTCGTGAAGAAAGCGCGAGACATCGTTACAGACGTGGGTAAGCTTAGAAAGGTGGAGTTGGAGCAAACGCAGCTTAAACTCGTGCAGAAACTATACATTATTTCGAAGTTGGACACGAAACTAAATGTACATGAGAAATAAGGTAAATGAGATATTAGCATTAACGAGTTAGGAGAACTGGGGACATTATCCTGGGGTAGGCAATCCTGCAGATTTAGGAAGTCGTGGAGTATTTGCGTTAAAGTTACAAGATTGTTCACTTTAGGGTAATAGACAAAATTGGTTAGGCAGTTTCGAACAGGAATGGCTTCAGTCTGTACTGATTAAAACAGAGGAGAGTGTTGATGAAGAAAGAAAGGCGCCTGTGTTAGTAGTGGATTTTAGTTAGAAAATTAGTGTAGAGAAGATTATCTGTATAGATAGATACAGTAGCGTAGGAAGCTATTTCAAGTAATGGTTTGGGTTGTTAGATTCGTGATAAACTTAGTGGCTGAGCATGTAAACACGAGGATAGAATTGAATTATAAACTTGAAAAGTCAGGAAAATAAACGAAGCAGAGAAGCGTTGGATTAAAGTTTTTCAGACAGAAATGAATAAAGATGACAAATTTAAACAGTTAGAGAGTCAGTTAAAATTAGTTAAAAAAAAAGCTTTTTAATAAAGGTGCCATGTGCGACTTGCAGAAGCAGATTTACAAGTAGACATAAAATTTCCTATTTTGATGGCAAAGGAAAGGAAGTTAACTGAATTGTTAATTAGACATGGTACATCATGGGCGAGTGAAAGCGATGTTGGCAGAGATAAGATCTGGATTTTGGATCCCCAAAAAGAGGCAACGGGTAAAATACATTTTTAACACGTGCATTGTGTGAAGAAGTTAGAGGGAGTAAGAAGCTGAGATGCTTTGACGATTAAGGCAACTTTTAGGACATTACGAAAACTGTACGATAACGAACTTGTACAAGGGTATTTGGGGAACCACAGAATCGAGTGGTACTTTAATTTAGAGTGGGCTCCATCGTGGGGAGGATTTTTTGAACAAATGGTAAGGTCTGTGAAATATGATTAAAGAAGGTGTTGGGAAACGCTAGACTGACTTATGATGAGTTGTTGAGGACATTACTTGAAGTTGAAGCGACATTGAACTCTAGACAACTGATGCATTTGTATGACGAGGTTGGAAGTGAACCGTTAACTCCATCTTACTTGGTAAAAGAAGGCGGTTGTTGTCAGTGCCAGAGAAGGTATTTGATGAAGAAGAGTGTGATGAAAAATATTGTAAGAAAAGGTATCAATATCTCCAGTAAAAAGAAACTGCACTTGTTTAATAGGTGGCGTAAAGAGTATGTGTTTGATTTAAAGGAGTTTCAAGGGAAAAATAAAGAAAATGGTATAAGGGTAGCGGAGAAGGGTAATGTCGTGGTTATTCACAAAGATGGTGTGAAAGGAGTTTTTGGAAAACAGATGTGATAGAGGAGCTAATTTCTGGGCAAGATGGTGTAGTTAGAGGAACAAAGGTTAGGTTAGTTGAAAATGGTAAAGTTATCCATCTTAATCGTCCTGTATGAAAACTCTTTCCTACTGAGTTAAAGCACGACGAGGGGAGATCAGAGAAGAAAGTAGTAGAAGTGGAATGTAGTCAGAGACCAAAAAGAACGGCTGATCTTAACTCTGTTTGGAAAACAAAAAGTATGAATGACTAGTGGCACTAGTAAATGTGAGAGAGTATGTTGCAAAATGTGATGTTAGTTCGTAATATGTGTTCGTATACTTAAGAAACTCAGTAGTGATTACGCCATTCTGAAACCAGACAAAGGCAATTAACAAACAATTAACAATTCATCACATGAATTTTTACAACAATGGCAGGTTTAGAACATCTCTTGTTAACAGGAAGTAATCTTTCACCAATGCAACTGTATACGAAAGGAGTGCTTTCTGAAAACTAGACATATCTGAACAGGAAAGCAAACTTCTTGAAACAATTCTTTAACCAAAATGCGTGCCACTGCATGCCAATGACTTCTGCTAATCAGGAGCGGACCTAGGATTTTTCAAACATCAGTCATAAAACGTCGTAGTAGCTCCGCACCTGTGGGGGGTCCGAGGCATTCTCCCCTGGGAAATTTTGATTTTCAGAGCCTTGTAAATCCCATTTCCAGCGTTTTAAAACAATACAAAATGTATTTTGTGGGCATCGTTTTTGCATAAATACAAAACATTTTGCTTACGTTTTTTCAAAAAAAAATAAACTGAAGTGAACAGTACTTGAATGTTTTGCCAAATATTTAGGCTCATTATAATGCCAAATATATGGCTCATTAGCATGTCTAAGAACATAAAACTTAATTTACAATAACGCTATTCCAAAAAAGATATTGTCTTCAAAAATTTCTACCAAGTTGTCAGGCAAAGACCACCCTGGAGACCCCCATTCATACCTCTATGTAATGAGTTACGTTAGAAATTTGGTACTACTAATGACAGTTCATATATATAGAAAAGCTCAGACTTCAAACCATGCAAGTTTATTGTAACCCTTTACCCATCTCCATATATAGTGCCAGAAAATTCACCTTTTGAGAAAAAAACTCAAAATTTTTTTCTGCCAAAGATTAAGCAAAAATTATCAGAGTGAAAATTTGCAATTAAGGACAGCTTAATGCCATTAACGTATATTAGGCGTTTCAATAGACTATTATCTTCTGTAAGTATATGCAATGTGTTCTATATAGCAATCACCAGTAGCATTGTATTTGCCAATACAAACAGAATGTAACCAACATGGCTTTAATCATATAATTACATGAATGTTAAATTTGGTGCATGTGTCATGTTACTGGTTATGATAAATATCATTTCATATGATCAAAGCTCGTTTAAATGTAAATCTGAAATAATTTAGTTTAGAAATTATAATGATCATGAGAAAAATTACCTAGTGATCATGAAAAATACTTTGCAGTTTTGCCAAATTTCAAGGTTTATCTGCATACATAAGATAAATTAGATGTTGTTATGACTTCAATATGTTGCGGGTTAAGTATTAGTTTTTATTCTAGTGGTGAAATCTGGTTGAGGATGTAAAACTCATAGTTTTTAGAACTCATAATGCGCGAGAAATTTCTGCACACCTTTGAGTTTTACTACGATTTAGGAACAGAAGAAGAAAACTTTTTACCTGAAAAAATAATTCCATCTCATTTCTAGCTTTGCGCATATCTGTTATTGCAAAATAGCTGTCTGAATCAAAAGTCACTTTGCACAAATACATAGAGGAACTTGAGGAGCACGTTGTCAAAAACTTTCTGAGCTTGTGCCAATTAAAAATGATCATGTAAACGCTGGAGAAATTATTATAATTTGCATCAAGGAGATTGCATGCTTAGCGGGAAAAAGTTAGACAAGAAATACATGCTGTTGGTCAATACAAGCGTAAAACAAATAGGCAAAGAGGTTACAAAAATTCTTTCCCAAACTATGTATTGCACTGGAAACCATAAACTTGTGAGGATGCAATCATGCAATAGATTGGTATAATCAAATACTATTTTAATGCAAAATGCAGCACAAAAAATGGGAAGAAACTGCAAATAGACTTTTTGTTCAGCCTATTTCAAGATATAGAAAAATTTTTCATAGTTTGCACAGATCTTGGTTGCGAGAATATTGACATTTTGCACTATACCATTGCCTATAGAGGAGAAGAGAGTGCTTCGGAACAGATTATATAACTTTCCAGAAGGGTCACTCCTTTGAGGTTTCTTGTGTAGTAAAGTGTTGTAGTAAATTATACTATGAATAATATGGCAAAAAATGGATGATCGATGTTAAAATGCG